GAGTGGGGGCTGCCGCGGTCCCACAGCACCCCTTCCCGTGCCCACCCCGTGTCCTGGGGCGAGAGCAGCCCCCCCCCCGCCTCCTGGGCCTGCTCCTGCGGCGGTGCTGGGGCCCCGGCCAGGCAACCCGATTGCCAGGGAATGTCTCTCGTTGTTCGTGAAACAAGCGCATTGTGCAAGGAACAGAGGCCGTCTGTCTCCCTCCCCGGCCTCCCCTGCCAGGAGGAAGGATCCCTTTAACTCTCCTCGCGGCAGCAGCTTCAGTTTCCCCGAAGTGCCCCTCCTGCTGCAAAGGCCGGGCAGCTCCCCCCCCGCCCCCCCGCTTCCTCCCACCTGCCTGGGTGTGGGAACGAAGGCTTGGGATGGGGGATGCAGGAGGTCTGCAAGCGGTCCGGCTGACCTCATTCTGCAAGGCCCTTCCAGCGTCGCAAAGTGCCCCGTCCACCCCACCAGGTCCCATCGAAGCGGTGCAGGCGGGGGGCTGGCTGGTGGGCCCCCCCGGGCTGGACGTGGGGCTGCTGCACTGCTGGCAGGAGGGGAGGCCACTCCCCAGCTCCAGTTCCCGGTCTGCGTCAGATGCCCCCAGCGTCCCCCCCGGGAGGCAGGAGGGGTCTCCTGGATCCTGGCCAGCTCAAGTGCCATAGTGCCGGCGGGGGGAGGGGGGACCTGACTCGTGTAATCCCCGGATATGGTCTTTCTCGGAAACAGTTCGGACACGACGGTGGGGTGATGCCACTGCTGCTTGCTCGTGGTGGAAGCTCCTCCTGCTGGGCAAGGCCTGAAGCGAGCGGTCAAAGCGTGTGTGATGGGGGGGGAGAGAGCGCCCCTTCTCCTTGCCAAGATGGGCTGTAAGGGCAGGGTTTAGCTGTAGTATGTATCAAGTGATAAGAGCTTCAGTGCATGTGCAGAGTGCATCTTGGTGCCCCTGAATTGGCCCATGTGCCTCCTGAGCTGCTCAGGAAAGCCTCCATCTGCTGTTGCCTCGGCACGGGCCGGGTGGGCTGGGAAGGCAGCCTCGAGATCAAGGGGGCAGCGGCAGGGGCGCTGGAGGGGATGTGGGGAGGTGTGGGGAGGCCACTGCCTCACTGCTACCTACTGTGAAACGGGTCTAGAGCTGCTTGCTGTGGAGAGTGGAGCTCCCCCTTCCTCAGCAGCCTGGCCCTGCCCGGACTGAGGCCTCCTGGCCTGGCCTCTCGAGGGCTGGATTGGTGCAGCGCCAGGTGAGGCTTAAGAGGATTAACGGTTACGTCCCATTTCTTGTGAGGCGAGGCGAGGCTGGCTGGGCTGAGCTGCTCCTGGAAGGCCAAGCGCCGCCGCAGGGACCGGCTGCGATCCATGAGGCCCCTTTGGCCTCCCTGGCCCCCTGGGGTGCGCTCTCCGGAGACCCCTTAGACAGGCCTCCCGCTCTCGTGTGCCCCGCCGGCAGCGGCATCCCGTTAGGCACTGCCCGGCTGTGCCAAATTCTCCTCTGCTGTGGGCGAGTCCCCGGGAGAGGCGAGCAGGAAGCGGTTTCCAGTAATGGCGCGTGGGGGGGGGGGGGTGGGCCTGGCTAATGGCTGGGCAGGTGCTCCGTTTCTGCTAAGTGATGTGAGCGCAGAGATGGCCGAGGCCCGTGGCTGCCTGTCGCGTCTCCCCCTCTGCTGCGGCTTCCAGAGAGCCCCTTGGCCCTTGGACGGGGCCCGGGGCCCCAAGGGTGTCCTGGGGCTGCCCCCACCCCCCTGCGGGAGGGGCCAGGCCCGGATCGACGCGGTCCTTGCAGGAAGGCTGGGGTACGCTCGGGCCATACAAAGGGGGCTGCGGCTCGCTGTGGCCGCGCATGGGCCGCCCGGTCCCTGCAGTTTCGTGCCCTGCGCTGGGGGCTCAGCCCTTCCTTCGGCTTGGGAGGAGGCTGCTGTGTGTGCTGCAGATGGAGGAAATCAGGAGGAAGCTCCGGAAAGTATCAGGAACGTTGAAACCATCGCTTGCCGCGGCCGGTTCCTGTGTCTACCAGGCCTGCTGCAGGGCTTGGTGAACGGCCCCACGCAGGGGCCTCCGTGGTCCAGCCCGCCTGCCCCCCTTCCCAACGGGGGCAGATGAAGCTGGGCGTCGGGTGACCTGGGCAGCGGGGCTGTGTGTGTGTGAGATGCTGGGCTGGAGGGCAGGAAGGCGGGGGCGCTCCGTGCCCAGCTGGTGGCGCGTCGCTGGTCCTGCCGGCCACGCCTGTCGTCCACGGGGGGGGGGGCGGTGAGCTTGCGTGCTCCAAATGTGCGGGCAGCTGGCTTTTAGTTGAACCCGCCAGCTCCCTGGAACGGGAGGCGATCCGGCTGGGCCTCCCGGGGCCTTCCCACCACCTCCCTGCTGCCCAGGTCTTGGAGCAGCCTTCCTGGGGGGCTGGGCCCTCGGAGGCGTCGGGTCATGAGCGCGGCCCGTGAGCAGGGCCAGGTTCCCTTTCGCAGCTTGCCTAGCCGGGGAGGGCCTCCCGTGTGACCGCCCGCCTGCGAGGGGCGCAGAGCCGCAGGAATGCAAGGCCAGGGCGGAGGGCGAGTCACGGTGGGGGTGGCGGTGGAAAAAGCCAAGCAGGCCGCGGGGCCCACCCTGCCGAGCGCTGGGCCTCCGGAGGGGCTGTCCAGCGGCCGCGGCCTTGTGCTCCCACGGCCAGCTGCAGGAGCACCAACGGAGCGGGCGGCTCCCGGCCACCGCGGACGAGCCGGGATCCCCGATGTGCCCGGGCTGAGCCGGGATTGCTCTGGCCAGGCTATTAATCCCCCCGCATGAGCCGCCCAGGACTGCCTAATCCCCGGCCATGACGGGGCAGACAGTGCCTGGCCCTGGCGAGATGCTATCGGAGCCCGGAGGGGAGGCCTGGGCTTCGCAGCGCCGGTCGTCAGGCGCATTCCAGCCTCCCTCCCGCCCCCCGGTTCGCAAGCGTGTTCGCACCCGTGCCGAGAGAGGTCCGAGGTGGACTAGCCCAGATCGACGTGCTCAGGGGCTCCTCCTCGCATCACGTTTTTCCGCTGGGCGCCGCCAGAAGTTCCTCCCACCCTTCCCTGCCCTGCACTCTTGCTCCGAGGTTTTTCCCATGGGGCCGAGTCCACGCCTTTGCTGATGCAGATGCTTCTCCCCCCCCCCCCCCCCCGTTCAGTTTGCAGACTGCCAGGGATGGAAGCCAGCCTTCTACAGCGCGGAGGACGAGCGCTTCCGGGTGCTGGCGGACGGCAGAGTCCTGGTGCGGCGCCACACGCGGCTGCCCGGGCGCGAGAGGACCTTCGCCGTGCAGGCCTGGGATCCCGCGGGCACCAGGGCCTCCGCCGCAGTCACGGTGCGGAGCCAGGGCCGCCCCTCCCCAGAGGTAAGGAGCCTCGCAGGTGCCCGGCTCCATGGCAACCTCTGTGCCTCTGGGCGGTTGCGCTGGCGACGGCCGTCCCCACAGGCGGGATCCCCGTGCGGGCGAGGAGACGCTTCCTGCTCCCAGAATAGCCGGGCTTTCCCTGCAGCCTTGAGCCCTCCCCAGTCGTTGCTCCTGGTGACCCCGTGCAGGAGAGGCCGAAAGCCGCACCTCGCAGGCAAACTGGCTGCGTGCGCTTCGGCTCGCTCCTCGGGGTGCCGGAGTGAAAGCAAACAACAGATGCGCTGAACAAAGCCAAGTCCAGGCTGTGAATATGCACGACGGACGTGGTTTGCTGTTACGAACGCGGCAGCTTCAAACGTTGCAACGAGGGATTGTTCAGTGCACAAAAGCAGACTTAAGTACAAGAAGCCTGTTGCTAGAATGCTGCAGCCGTGCAAAAGGGAAACACGGTGCTGTGCATTGTTGGAGAGGCACAGGATGTCAGCTCCTTAACTTGGGCAAGGCTCAGGGCCGTGCTCGGTGGGATGGCGGGAAGGCCCCAGCGAGCGCCTTGCCCAGGCGGGTGGTTGTGCTGAGCAGGTTGTTGCTGCCCCGTTGCAAATGCCTTTGCTGAGTGCTTGGCCCCCAATTCTGGCAAGGATTCTGGCGCTGCCTTCTTGCTGTCCAGCGTCCGGGCCCTGCAGCCAAGCCCCCTCCCCAGAAGACTCTCCAGGGCGGTGGGAAAGGCGGGCATGAGAGCAGCCAAGCGACCCCACTTCCTGTAGCCCCCCCCCAGGGCAGCAGCCGGCCTCCCCCCACTAGCTTGGTGCCCGCAGAGGCGATGGATGGTGTTCCACTCCCATCAGCCCCACCCAGCACGGCCCGGGGGGAGAGAAACACCCCGCACTGCAGCCCAAGTGCCTGGCGGGCGTGACTTCCCGGGAATCTTGTGGAAAGGGCTCCCCCTCCTGGCTCGGTCCCCGCACTCTGCAGCGCTCCTTGCAGGGCTGGGCCATCTTCCCCGGCTCAGCTTTCTGGGGCTGCAGGGGAGGGGTCCGAGGGGGCTCCAGGCAGGATGGGTGGGGGCTGGCCCCCGTTGGCCCAGCACTGGGGGAGGCTGCGAGGCTTGCGTTGGCTTCCAGCCGGTGCTGCTGGGGGGGCTCCCTCTTCGTGCTGGCAGCTGGAGGGGGCAATCTGGTGTGGGGCCCGCCAGGCCGGAGCCCTGCCCTGGGACTCTTCCCTGCCCCCCTGCGGAGCAGCCCTGAGGGTGTCGGGCGTCCCTGCAGGAGGAGCTGGATCCGGCCAGAGCAGAGGCGCTGCGATTCCCCCCGGCAAAGCCTGGCTTGAGGCGGCGGAAGAGGGACTGGGTGATCCCCCCCATCAGAGTCCCCGAAAATGAGCGGGGTCCGTTCCCCAAGAAGCTTGTCCAGGTAGGGCAGAGTCCTCCGTGGGCGACCAGGAGGGAACGAACTGCCAGTCTTCCCGGGAGACGGCGCTGGCGGAGTCGGCGGGGGTCGGCATCCTGCCACCGCAGCTGGGCGTCACCGCTTGGCGGAGGCCACGGAGTCTCGGGCAGATGGGACCCCCGTGGCAGCCCCGGATTCTGGGCATGGCCGCCGCAGCCGCCCCTCTGGAGACGCTGGGCCTGACCGGCCTCCCTTGCCTCGCCGCAGATCAAGTCCAACAGGGACAAGACCACCAAGATCTTCTACAGCATCACGGGGCAGGGGGCCGACACGCCGCCCGAGGGGGTCTTCACCATCGAGAAGGAGACGGGCTGGATGAAGGTGACCCAGCCGCTGGACAGGGAAGCCATCGACAAGTACCATGTGCGTCGCCGGCCCCAGAGCCGCCTGCCTTCCGGCTGGAAAAGCTCTCCCCCCGGAGGGCGGGGGGGTGGGACCGCGTGGGTCTGACCGTGGCCTCCCTGCCCCACAGCTGTTCTCCCACGCCGTGTCCGAGAACGGCAAGCCTGTGGAGGAACCGATGGAGCTCATAGTGACCGTCACGGACCAGAATGACAACAAGCCCCAGTTCACCCAGGAGGTCTTTCGGGGGTCTGTCCTGGAGGGAGCCACGCCTGGTGAGCAGCGGGGTGGGCCATGTGGTGCCTTCGTGGGGGGGCCGAGCCTGGCTCTGCGCTCAGGCCGGTCACGCTCCGAAGCCGCTGCACGACAGCAGACTTTCCCGGCCATGGAAGTGTTCCCCGAAAGGGGAGCGGGAAGCCGTCTACGCTCGCCCGCCCCCCTTCCCTGCCTGGAAGCCCCCCGGCCCGTTTGCCCGCTGCTGTGGTGGTTCGGGCTGGTTTCTGCGCGTGAACTGCGGGCGAGGCGCGTTGGCTCTGCTCCTCCATGAATCAGCCCCCTTCCCCTAATGCCCCCCCGACCTGGTGCCCCCAAGCGTGCGGCAGCTGCTCCGGCGTCTCCTGGCCAGAGGGGCCAGCAGCTCCCCCGAGGGGTGCCAGGCACCCCTGCTCCTCCCCCTCCCCCAGCAGCCCCCTTGCCGGGTGCCCCAGGGGGGGAACGGAGGAGAGCAGGGGCTACTCAGGGACAGGTGTGCAGCCCCCTGCTCCGCGCAGGCACTTCGGTGATGCAGGTGAACGCCACGGATGCCGACGACGACGTCGAGACCTACAACGGCGTCATCGCCTACTCCATCGTGAGCCAGGTGCCCGCGGAGCCTCAGGCACAGATGTTCGCCATCAACAGGGCCACGGGTGTCATCAGCGTGATCGCCAGCGGCCTGGACCGGGAGGTGGGTGGCCCGGCCGGGCGGAGGGCCTGGGCGGTGGGGGGGGGGTCCTCCCCAGGCGGGAGCCGTGCACTGAGTCCCAGAGCTGCGCGGGGCCCTTGGGCTGCTTTGCGGCTCGCGCGCCAGTGCCCGAACCAGATCGCGAGGGGGCGGAAGGCGTGGGGCAGGGCAGCTCTGCCTGCAGGGTGAAGGGCTGGGCTGCCCCCCCCCGCGCACCCACTGGCCCCCCGGCCTCTTGCAGAGAGTGGGCGAGTACATCCTGACACTGCAGGCGGCCGACCTGGACGGGCTGGGGCTGACCGGCTCCGCCACGGCCGTGATCGAGATCGCGGACGCCAATGACAACGCGCCGGTGTTCCGGGAGCAGACGGTGAGGGGGCCCCGGGCCCTGGGGGTGGGCGGCGGGTGGCCCCTCTGGGCGCAAGTGGGAGGTGTGGCGGAGCGTGTCAGGCTAGCACGGAGCCCCGGACGGCCTGGGCATTCAGCCCCCAGCATTCCTTGCTCCTGGCCTTGCAGCAGGGGATTCTGGGAGAGAAGCCCAAGGCGTGGAGACCTTCCTGCCTGCCTTTCCACGGCCGGAGGTGCTGCGGGCTCAGCTGGGCTGGAGAGGCAGCCCGGGGGCTCCTTCGAGGGCCCCGGCAGGGCTGGGGTGCCCCGACCAACCGGCTCTGGGGGCGCTGCTCGTCACGGGGGGAGCAGGGGGCCGATCCGCCCGGTGGGGCTGGGGGAGCGTTTCTGCCCGCGAGGCTCACGCCCGGCTCGTGCCTCGCTCAGTACTCGGCGGAGGTCCCGGAAAACGAGGTGGGGCTGGAGGTCGTGAGGCTGGCCGTGACCGACCTGGACGAGGCGGGGACCCCGGCCTGGCGGGCCCGGTACTCCCTCCAGCACGGCAACGAAGGGGGCTTCTTCTCCATCTCGACGGACCCCGAGACCAACGAAGGCATCCTGCGGACGGCGAAGGTGTGTGGTGGGGGGCGGGCACACCTGCCTCGGCCGGGGGTCGCTGGGAAAGGGCCCGGCGTTAACAGAGGCCCCGACCATCCCAGGTGGAAAACCGTTCAGCTTGTGCTATTTAAAAGTGCGGTCAAGTCCCCTTTAGAGGCGTGCAGGAATTTTCACCGACGGAGGGAGGTTGCGTGTACAGCTGGCTAGCTTGGGGCAACACGGCCTCGGCGGAGAAGTTCTGTGGCCACAGGGGAAGGCCGCCTCCACTCATTCCCGGGGGTTCGGGCTAGACTTTCCGGTGGCCCCGCAGCCAGGCGGTTCCCCAAGCCGCGCTCTGCATGTGCGCAAAGGTCATGTCGTGCATGCAAGAGCCGCAAAGACGGCCGTGTGCCGACGCCTCGCCTCGCCCCCCCAACGTCAGGGCCCCCAGCAGCCTGCTTCCTCCTGCCTTCCCCCCCCCCCCCCGATCCCCGTGCAGAGCCTGGACTTTGAGGCCCGGGGGCGGTTCGTGCTGCAGGTCGTGGTGGCCAACGAGGCCCCCTTCGCGGTGAAGCTCCCCACTTCCACCGCAACGGTGACGGTCGGCGTGAAGGACGTCAACGAGGCGCCCAGCTTCGTTCCTCGGGTCCGGACGGCAGAGGTCTCCGAGGACGCCCCGATAGGGTGGGAGGTGGCCACCTTCGCCGCTCAGGACCCAGACGAGGCGCAGCCCCAGAAGCTCACGTAAGCGGCTGCGGAGCCTGGTGGCCGGTGGCCGGCGGCCAGTGGCAAGGGGGGGGCGTCCCTGTACTGGCCTGATGGCTTGTTGACGGGCAGACGGAGATGGATGATGGGCCTTGATGGGCCTCTCGGCCCAACGCACGTGCTGCAAGGCCCCCCCTCCCCTCCCCCCCCGGGTTGCCCTCCGTCACTCGGCGCTCGCTCGGCCCTAATGGAAAGCTAAGCGCTCTTAATGGGCCGCTCGGGTTGGCGCTGGAAGTGCGAGCTGCGCGATGGGGGGGGAGGGCAAAGCCGCCTCCTGGGTGGACGGACGCTGCTGACGTGACCCCGGCCCCTCGGGCAGCACCCACTCAGCCAAGCAGGAGGCCGCGAGGGGGTCTGAGGGGGCCCCGAGGGGCAAAGGCCGAGGATCTGACAGGTGAAGGAGGCCGGGAGCCGGCGCAGCGGCGGTCGCCCCCAGAGACTGCCTGGGCGGCAGCGGCGGCTGCAACTCCGGGGACGGACAGTGACCGGAGATGCCGTGCTTCTGAGCTCGGGATCCTTTGGCAGGACGTCCGGTTTTGGCAGCGTTCGGTCTGCCTGGCCTTCCCCAGCCGGTGCCCCCGGAGGTGCTGGGTGGCAGCTCCCATAATGTGGCAGACGGGGGTGGGGGTGGGGCAGAGAAACGTCCGCTGTGCTTTGCTCGGAGGGCAAGGCCCGTCCGCTACATCGAGGGTCCCAAATTGCCCGGCTGGAGAGCAGGGGGCCAGCCACCCCCTTGGCCTGGTGCAATCCTGAAAGAGCTGCAGAGGTTCGTGCGTGCAGAACAGTGGGCGGGGGGGGGGTCCCTGCCGGCTGCCCCTTCTGTCTTTCCCCATTCCTGGCGCCGTGGGACTAACGCCCCCCGCCCCCCAGGTACTCCATGGGCAAGGACCCGGCCGGCTGGCTGGCCATCCACCCTGAGAGCGGCGTCCTCACGGTCCGGAGGCAGCTGGACCGGGAGTCCCCCTTCGTCCGGAACAGCACCTACGAGGCCATGGTGCTGGCAGCCGACGACGGTACGGGTGGCGTGGCTGGGAAAGGGCCCACAGGGGGGGCGGGGGGGCGCGGCACAGGGCGTCAAAGGGGCCTTTGTGGGCCGGGAGCAGCAGCAGCCATCTGAGGGGCGCGTGGTGTCCTGGACTGTCACGGGACCCGCATCCCTGACCCAGCGCTTCCTCGGGGGGGGGGGGCCTCCTCGGTGGCCACACGAGTCGGATCCCGGAGAAGGCGAGGCTGCTGAATGCTCCCACGGCCAAAATTATGGCAGAAGAGCAGTGGGGGGGATGCTGGGCACGGCCCCGGGGCTGCCCCCCATTCTTGGGAGGGGCTGGGTCACATGTTCCGATCGATCACAGCCTCACGCTGGTCCCCCGGGGCTCCTCTCAGGAGGCCGGGGTAGGGGGAAGGGCCCCCACGCTTTTAAGCCGCTCCCACTTCAGGAACCCGCAGACGGCACAAACCCCGGGCTGCATCACGCGCTGCGAAAGCGCCCCTGCGCCTCCTGGGCCGTGCCCACGCTGCAGCCCCTGCTAGGAACAGCTTGCGTGCAGGGGCCCACGTGCTCTGCCGATGGATGGGGCCTGGCGGGGGCACAGCCGGGGCTGGGCGGGGAGGAGCTGCGGAAGGGGCAGGCCCTGCTTTGAGCACGGGGCGGAGGGGCCGCCGCCTGACCTGCCCAGGAATGTGGGTTTGGGGTCGGGGAGGGGGGTCGGCATTGCTGGCTTCCGTTCCCAACCAGGAAGGAAGCTGCTGTTCCAGAGCTTTTCTGATTCTGTGGACATGTGTGTCCTACTTACCTGCAGTGATTTTCCGGCTCCTCAGCCCAAAACGGCTCCCGGAGCTGCTGAGATGGTCCCTCCCCTCAGCCATACACTCGAAAAGGCACAACATGAAAGGAAAGGGACTGGGACGGAGGAGGAAAGCACATCACTCCGGCACTGGCTCTTAGTTCCCGGGTTCTCTGCTAGGAAGGGCACAGCAGGCGGCCATTTCCCTTCGCTGCCCCAGCCGCTCGGCCAGCCAGCGAGCCCCCGCTGCTCTGCTCAGCTGCCGGAGCCCTGCTGCTCTCCTCCCGAACAGGGGCCCCGGCCGCGACCGGCACCGGCACCCTCCTGCTGACCCTGCTGGATGTGAACGACAACGGCCCGGAGCCGGACCGGCAGGAGGTCATCGTCTGCAATCGCGACCCGGTGCCGCAGCTGCTGCACATCCTGGACAGGGACCTGCCCCCCAACGGCTCCCCGTTCCGCGCGGAGCTTGGCAACAACTCGGATGAAAGCTGGGCGGTGGAGATGGACGCCGAAGGTGAGGGGGCGCCCGGAGGGGGCTCCCTGCCCTCACTCCCTGCTCCTCCGGCAGTTCCCCCTCACAGGCCTGCCCGGCCCAGCACAGCACAGCACAGCGTGGGGCAGACCACCCGCCACCACCCACCTGGGGCTTCGGGGCCCGGCACCTGCGCCGGGTGGTGGGCTCTCCCGGCTGGGCTGATGTCCGGCTCGCTTCCGCAGGGGAAACGGCCACCCTGAGGCTGCTGAAGCCCCTGGACCAGGGCACCTATGAGGTCTTCCTCACCCTCTTCGATGCCCAGGGCAAGGGCCGGCTGGCGGTCCTCCAGGCAACGGTCTGCGAGTGCGAGGGGCCGGTGGACAAGTGCCACCACAAGCCGCTGGTGGCCATCGGGGCGCCCGTGATCCTGGCCATCCTGGGGTCCATCTTGGCCTTGCTCTGTGAGTATGCGGGGTGCCCCCCCTTGGGACTCGGGGGCCACGCTCCCCAACGGCCCCCTGACGGCGGCTGCTCCCCCCCCCGCAGTGCTGCTGCTGCTGCTGCTGCTTTTCATGAGGAGGAGGAAGGTGGTGAAGGAGCCGCTGCTGCCCCCCGAGGACGACACGCGCGACAACGTCTTCTACTACGGCGAGGAGGGCGGCGGGGAGGAGGACCAGGTGGGTGCCGCCCCTCGGCCCCGGAGCAGGGCGGGTGGGGGGGCCATGCCGCTCCGGCCCGGTCTGCGTCACCGCGGGTCACCGCGGCAGAATCGGAGCTGGGGCCGCCGCCGAGGGGAAGCGTCCCTGCGTGTGTCCGCCCGAGCGCAAGCCGACCCCCCTCCCGCCCGCCTCCCGCCAGGACTACGACCTGAGCCAGCTGCACCGGGGCCTGGACGCCCGCCCGGAGGTCGTCCTCCGCAACGACGTGGCGCCCACCCTCCTGCCGGCCCCGCAGTACCGCCCGCGCCCCGCGAACCCGGATGAGATTGGCAATTTCATCCACGAGGTGAGGCATGTGAAAAGAAAAGCGCGGGAAGAGGGCGGCACGTTCCTGTCGCGCTTCTCAGCCCTCATAGCTGCCCGATTCGGGAGCAGCTAAAGAGCCGTGAGAAACCTGTCTGGGTCTTTCTCGTTTTATGTAAAATAGTTCCAGGCCTGCTTCAGGCACAAGCCACGCTCGTCACTGGCCAGGAAGGGTTTGGGATTTCGGGGCTGGGGAAGCGTTCCCCTGGCTTGGGCTCGCCGAGGAGCGCAGCCTCGTGGGGGGGGAAACGGGGCCAGGCTGGCCGCCCTGCTCCGCACTCATCCCAGGGCGCAGCCGGCGTGGAGTGGCGTGTCCTCCGGAGGGGGCTGAGCGCTGTCCCTTCCCCCCCGCAGAACCTGAAGGCGGCCGACACGGACCCCACAGCGCCCCCCTACGACTCGCTGCTCGTCTTCGACTACGAGGGCAGCGGCTCCGACGCCGGCTCCATCAGCTCCCTGGGCTCCTCCGGCTCCGAGCAGGACCAGGAGTATGACTACCTGCGTGACTGGGGCAGCCGCTTCCAGAAGCTGGCGGACATGTACGGGGGGGGCGAGGAGGACTGAGCGGGGGGCTAGCCTGGCCCCCGCCGTGGGCCCCTCCGCCGGAGCCCCGGCTGCGCCTCGTCCCCCACCGGCTCCTGCCTGCTCGCGTGCCCCTGGCGGCCCACGCGGCCGCGCCCCCACCAAGACCCTCTTCTGGTGAAGGCCTTCGAGGAGGCGGCCCGTGCCTTCCTCCAAGCGTCGCTTTGTGTGTCCCCGCTCGCGGGGAGCCCCTAAATGTGCCTTTTGGGGACCGGCTGCCCGCCTGCGTGCCATCCCTTGCTGAGGAGCCTGGGCAGGCGGGGCCCGGATCCCGCCAGCTCCGGGGGGGCAGCAGCTGCCAGTTCCCGCTGCTCCGGCCAGCCTGGTGGTGCACCGGTGCTGGGCTGGAGCTGCAGGGAAGAGGTGGGGCAGCCGCAGGAGCCGCCTGTAGGTCGCAGGGGTCCGCCCGGCCTGGGCCCCTTCGCTCAGGCCCACGTGCTCGGCCCCGGGAGAGCAGCTGCCTTCCCAGAACCTCCTTCATGCTGCCTTTTTTCAGTAAGCATTTCCTAAGTGCTCCTAAGTCAGTGGGGGGGGGTTGTACTGTGTATAAATAGGTTGGTAATAAATGGAGAACTGGACAATCGGGGTGTCACATTTTAATAAAGGATTTTCTTTTTTAACTGGAGTGTTCTTCTGTAGGGCAGGGCCCAGGGGGCGTTGCTGGGGGTGGGAGGGGGCTGCAGTGCTCCCCTCGAGTGCCAGAATCCCCCTTGCCAACCGCTTGGCTTTCTGCTGCACCGCCAGCTGCCTAGAGGTGTTGGAGTGCAACGCCCATCACTCCCAGCCATTCTGTGGGGCTGAGGGGGGTGGCACTCCAGTTCCTTGGGGAGGCCGGCCTGGGGTTAACTTGGGCGTGTTTTCACGCAGCTCTGGTAATGGCGCCCGCTTTCTCCCTGCAGCGAGGGCTTCCCTGACCCCCGAGCGGCCCTGCTGTGGGATCCAGCGGTCCTCAGCCCGATTTTGGGGGGGGGGTGCAGGCAAGAGCTGCTGCAGCTTCCTGCCCCCTTTCACCCTTGGCTCAGCCCCCTCCTGCCCCGGGACCCCCTGCTGCGCGCAGAGCGCATTCCAAGGCAGCCGTTTCCCCCGCGGGCTGGGAGGAAGAGTGTGAACCGAGCCCCCCTCGGGCCTCCCCCCCCCGCCCCCTGCTGCGCTCGCTCCAGCCCCTGAGCTCACCCGACCGGTTTTTCCCGCTGTGGCCCCTTCCTCGCCCCCCCCGGGCTTGGGGGCGGAGCCAGAGGGAGGCGGCCTCGCGCAGGTGTGCGGGGGGGTCCCCAAAGGCGGCCGCCTCCGGGGCTCCAGCCAGCCAATGGGGGCAAGGAAAGCGGCTGTTCGGGGGCCTCTGGGCAAGGGGCATCCACCCCCCGCCCCTGCCGCTGACCGGCGCCACCCAGGGGCCGGGGAGGGAGCGGGGGGGGGCGCCGGTCCGCACAGCGCCTCTTGGGCGAGGGGGGCTCGGCCGCGCGCGACCTGGGAAGCCGCCGCTGCAGCGATACCGAGCCCTTCCGGCGGGGGGCGCAGGAGACCCGGAGCCAAACCGGGAAGCAAGCGGGGGGCCTGCCGTGCGCAGGGGGCCCGGGGCCCGGAGAAGGGGCAGCACCGGCAGAAATCTCCCGGCCTCCTGCCCTCGCAGCCCCCTGCCCAGCCAGGCCCCTTCGGGCGGGCGGGCGGGCGGGCGGGCGAGCAGCCTCCGAGGGTGCCCGGAGGTCTGCGCGGGTGCCGGGGGGCGTCCCTTCCGGCACATTTAAACGCCTTGAGAAGGGCGGGCAGAGATGGGTCGTCCGGAGGCCCCAATTCTTTCCCCGGTGAGCAAACCCCAAAGGCGGCACAGACGCGACGCCCGCGGGCGCCACCAGAGCGCGCCCCTCGGCCTCGGCCGCCAGCCCGACCCGGGCAGCCTCTCCAGGTGGCGAGCCGAGCCGGCCGGCGGCCTCGGCCCATGACGGGGCCAGCTCGGCCCGCCTCCCGGGGTGCGAGCCCCGCTGCCCCCGCGGGACCGGGCTCGGAAGAGGCACGCGCCGGACCGCGCCGTCCGGCGGGCGGGATCCATCCCGAGCTGGGCAGCCTGGGGCCTCGGGCCCCGCGCTTCCCTCCCCCGGCCCGTTACGAGGTTTTAATTGCTGCTTGCGCTCTTGCGAGCGATACCCCGCAACGGGGCTCCACAAGCGCCTCCGCCCGCGCCGAGGCCGCTTCGCTGTTTACGTCTGTGGAAAGCGGCTGAAAGGAGCGTGGCTGCGAGGCGTGTTCTTGGTTCGGTGGCTGTTTGCCGTATTTGCCTTTATGCGTCCCTGCGAAGTGACTCATGCGCGGCAGGGCGGCAGGGCCGTTCCGGCGGGGCAGATGACGAGCAGCGCCGCTTCCCGGGCTGCTCCTTCGGCCACGGAGCGCCAGGAGCGCCGCGCTCTCTGCCCAGGGGCGTTTGCACTCCGGGAAAGCCGCCGACCTTCCTCGCCATGATCCTCCGGCATCGCTGGGAGGCGCGGCTGCAGCCGCCGGGCGCCGCAGGCGGGCGGGAGGGACCGAGGCCTCGGGCTGCCCGGACACGTAGCGGCCCACCCGCCGCGGCACCAGGGACGGGAGGCGCTGCCCCTGCCGCCTGGGCCAAACTCGCTTCCCCGGGAAGAAGCGGCGGCGTCTGGAGGCGCAGCGGGGCCGGGCGCTCCTGCCCGGTGGGTCCGCCCCTGCCCCCTCGGCCGCAGCCCCTCCCGCCGGCCGCCGGGCGGGAGGGCGCGGCCCGCCCCTCCCCTCCCCTCCCCTCCCACGCCGGGCGGAGCCTCCCGGGGGAGGCGCCGCTCACCTGCTGCTCCGCCGAGCGCGGCCCGGGGCGCCACAGCTCCCTGCGCGCCCGACGCGACGCGACGCCTCGCCCGCCCGCTCCCATGGCGAAACGGCCCGGACGCCCGTCGGGGCTCTGCCTCCCGCTGCTGCTGCTGCTGCTCCGGGTAAGCGCTGCCGCGGCCCGAACCCGTGCCTCGCGCTCCCCACATGCTCAGAGGCACATTTCTCGCCGCCGCGGCGCTCGGAGGCCCGCGCGGCGCCGTCGGTTTCTTCTCCGGAGCTTTCTTGGGCCCCTGCAGGGAGCGGCCGCCTCGGCCCTCGCCAGGCGCCGCGCCGCCCCGTCCCCGGTTTCCGCGAGCGCCTCTCGCCCCGCTTCCCGCGGGCTCAGCCCTCCCGCGGGGCGGCCCTGCGCGCCCCCCCATCCCTCGCACCGGAGCGAGGAGGAAGTTCCTGCCCGCCCGGGTCGCCTTCGCAGCCGCGGGCCTGCGGGCGCACCTGTCGGGAGCCCCAGAGGCGGGCGCGGCGCGGCGCGGCGCGGCGCTTTGCGGCCCCGCACTCCCCCCCCAAGGGGCCCGCGGGGGCGGCGGGGCGCCTGCTCGAGCAGCTCCGGGGGGGGATTCGCCGCGGGGCTCCCCCTGCGCAAAAGCGGCCCGGCGGGCGGAGGGGGGACGGGACCGGGACGAGCAGCAGCCAGGCCGCCCCCCCGGCCGCCCGCGCCTCATTCTGGCTTTTGCTGCCCGCCAGGCTGGACGGTGGCTGTGCGCAGAGACGGCGCCCGGGTGCCAGCCCGGCTTCGGCTTGGAGACGTACACCTTCGCCGTGCCCAGAGTGGACCTGGAGAGGGGCCGGGTGTTGGGCAACGGTAAGCGGCAGCTGCCCCTGCGGCGTCCCGGGCTGGGGGGATGATGTGTGGGTGGAGATCGCCCCCCTGCCTTGATGCCCAGAACCGGCTTCCCGGGCTGGATTGAGCCTTCTCCGAGCATGCGGAGGGCAGAGCTGAAGGCCCCGCTCTGAAGTGCCCTCCGGCCGCCCCCGAGCAGCGTGTCCTGCGCCCCTGATGGCGTTGCAGCAGCTTCTGCTAGTGAATCGGCTCCCCCTGGGAGAGGCCCCTGTGTAGAAAAAGCTGCTGCAGATCCAAAGTGGGATTCCCGAGTAAGAGAAGAGAGGGGTGGGCGCAGGCGGGCGCGACATTCCTGCTTGGAGCTGCGAGGAGGGGCCACTCCCTGGCTGCTCTGCCTTCTCTGCTGCGGAATGGGTGTACCGCCAGCCTACGAGAGTCAAGGCCGGAGACTGCCCTTCCGCGGAGTGGCGGCTCTTGATGGAAGGGCAGTGCTCGTCGCTGCCAGCCTGACAGCTAGCCTTCGCCGGGCGCCTGCCCGTCGCTTCAGGCACGGCTGGTGACTGGGGAGGGCACGGAGGAGCCGGCCCAACACGCCGAGGGGCCCCCTCGAAGCCGTTCTGCCCCTGAACCCGGGCTGCGGCGCTGGCGTGCCGTCTTCCGGAGAAGCCAGGCAGCTCTCCGATTTGGGCAAATGGGAGTAGGCCGGAATGTTGCCCTCGTATCTTTGCGAGGGCAAGTGATTTGTCTTTTCTTGGAGACAGCAGGAGACCAGTCGTAACTTCTTGTCTTTTGGAGCCAAGTTTATTTGTATTTACTTATATTGCCACCCCCCTAGCATGCCCTCCACAGCTGACATTGTAAAGTTTAACGCAAGATTAGCACGTAACATGGAACGTCAGTTAAGTCATTTCCGGAGGGAGCCAGGAGGAGGAATTCTGGGGGGTGTTTCTTGCTGGCATTTCCTGCAAAAGCCAGGAACAGGTTAACAGAGTCTTCAGGTGTTTCCAGTTTGCCCTGCCCCCACCTCGCCAGGCAAGGTGGAGCGGAGCGGGGCTGGGCGATGCCGACTTCGACCTGACTGCGACTTGTCCCTGCTCGCAGGCGCCTCTGGCTTGGGCGCAGCTGCTCATTCGGGCTTCTCCGCTCGCTTGCTCCCTCTTGGCTGGCTGCCTCCCCAGCAGCCCAACCAGCGGCCTGCCGCTTATCCGTTGTGCCGGCCTGCTGTGTCAATAAGGACCCGTGAATCATTTACCTGCTTTCACCTGGGATCCTTTGGCGCCTGCCTTCTGCTTCCACAGGGAGGGGGCCTGTCCCTTGGCGACTGACCTTGTCCCACAGTCAGGAAGCGGCCCATGAACCGCCCCGCCCAGTGCCACCACGGAGATGCCGGCAGATGGGGGGATGTAGCGAGAGCAGGCGTGGTGGTCTTTGAGTTCAGACTCGGGGCGTCTTGCATGAGTCCTTTACAAATGCTAGGCGCTGAAATTTGTCAGATCTTGTCCTCTGAAAACTCGAAAGCGAAACTGAACACGTCCAAACGGAGGCTGCACTGGCTGTCTCGGGGCAGAAACGCCGGCAGGGGGGTGGGGGCCCTCCTCACAGAGCCATTTTGCAGAGCAAGGAGCATTCATGACTTCCTCCCAGGAAACTTGGCTTCGTGGCCGGCGTGGCCACGAGAGGGGCTGCCAAGCCCTTGTTGCTGTGCTGGAGGAACGAGTGCCTTTAATGACGGTTAATTATCGCAAGGGACCAGCGTCGCCCTCCAGACAAGCAGCGCTTGACTGCTGTGTTTGGAGAGGGCCTGCTGTGCCCCCAGCTGGGGTTCATGTGCCCCAAGTTGGGGTGGCAGGGGGGTGTGCACACCTGAGCCCCCATGCAGACGGGAGGGAAGGGGCAGAGAGGCTGCTGCATTCTGCACCAATGAGTGCCGTGGGCTTGGACAGGAGAGGCCGCGTTCAGATCCTTGGCCAGCTGTGAGGCTTGTGCATAGCCTTGGACCAAGGACGCGCTCCGAGCTCGTGGCTGCGAAGAGAACGCTTTGCAGGGCGCTGGAAGGCAAGCGCAGTGTGCCGCACCGGGCGTCGGGGTGCGGCTGCGGTGGCTTCTTCCTACACGCTGGAAAGATCAACTGGGGTGCAGCTGATGGGTCGGGGAGCAGGACTCTGCCTGCTGGGTCACAAAGCCCTTTGCGTGTAAATGCGGATTTCCAGTCTTTGCTTCCTCCCTGCACACGCAACCCCGTGTGCAGCAAAAGAGCCCGTAATTCCCAGAGGGGAAGCCCAAGAAGCAGGTGATGCCGAGAATTATGGGCAGGGCTGCATTCCCCGCCCCAGAGCCAGATACTGGCAGTGGATGTTCAGAGCTGCAGCTCTTCAGGCAGGGCCGAGGGAGGCCCCTGGAGGGCACTCCGGCCTCCGTGGGCAATACTGGGCGATGTGGACCCGTCCTCCAGAACGGAGCAGCTGCCCCAGTGGTCCCACCGGGCGCGGGGGAGGCCTAAATGCTGGTGCACTTCCGGGCTGGGTTAAAGAGGCCAGGAAGCCGGCTTCAGGGAAAAGAACAAACCTGGCAGCAGCCCCTCTCTAGACCTCTCCGGGGACGACCCTCCCCTGCTGGGTCTGGAAGCTTCGCCTGGGAGTGGGGAAAAGGGCAGGCAGCATCCATGTGCCAGCCTGTGTTTGTACAGCCCACATGCCACACTCGATGCGCGCCTGCTCAGCAGGCCTCCTGAGCTCAATGGGGCTGAAGGTTTTCTCTACCCTGCCCAGCGGATCCGTTCTCTCTATAAGAGCCTCTGAGTTCTCCCATGTAGAGTGAGGTTGCCAGCTTTTTTCTGTTGGGGCTCCTGTGCTTTCCCATTGGTTGTTTCACCATTTTTCTTTCCACAATAGAACCCTTCTGGGGGCAAGGACACGAGGGGCGTCCGGGTCTTGGGGTGGCTGGTGCTAGCAGGTGGCCAGTGTGGTTGAGGCCCCACCGGTGAGGGTGTTCAAGGACAGGCTGGACATGTGCATCTAGGCATGTTATGAGTGGAGCCGGCTGGAGCCGGGGTCAGACTGGATGGCCCGGGAGCCCCTTCTGACTCACTGTGAATTGCACAGATGCCTTTATTAGGCTATCCAGAGGAAAGGCCATTCCTGCTCAGCTTTCTCTCCGTTCCCCTGGATTTCCACCTGTGGTGACTCACGTCCTCCCTGTTCAAGTGTGTGTGAGTGAAAGAGTGAGTAGATGCCCATCATGCTTCCTCGTTACTTGCATATTGCAAAATAAGAGGAACGAGTTGCGAGAGTGAGAGAGAGAGGCGGCTGGGACTCCCACAAGGGTGTCGCTCAGTGGACGCGCCTCGGGCTTCGTCTCCGACCCCGGTCTGGGGTCACTGCTGATGAGCAATGCCCTTGTTGCCGCCCGAGGGGTAGTGCTGGGAGCTGGCCGGGCGCGGGGAAGGCGTCGGCGGGCCTGGTTTGGGTGCCACCGTTGCCGCAAGGACACCTGGCAGCAGGGGGGGAACGCGGAGTGTGCCCCCCTCACTATCAGCTGCATGGGAAAGAGGGAAGCGCTGGGGGGGGTCCTCCTGACGGGGGCTCAGCCCATCTGGATGCTGGCCCCCACCCACGCCTGCAGCCCGGGCAACTGGCCCATTTGTCCTTTACGGGAATGAGTCAGTCCGGGAGTGTGAAAGTGAAACCTGCCGTCCTCTCGCTTGTTTCCGCCATGTCGGGTCCGAGCTGGACTGGGCTCTGCCAAAGGCAGATTCCTGCGGCTTCGATGGGATGAGGTGCTTTCCCAGCGCAAGGGCGCCCCCTGCCCCCTCCACACCCCCCCGCCTCCCGCGGCCGCGTCGCTCCCTGCGTGCAGGTCTGTGATGGGCGCCTGAATCAGCGCTGAGCTGAAACTCCCGTCCGACGAGTTGGAAAGTCACAGTGAAACTGGGTGATGTCACTGCTCAAACACGGAAGCTGCTCCTGGGTGCAGGGGCCGGGCGGGAGGGCTTGGCGACGCTCTCGGCTCGCTCCACTTTTTCCTGCGCATCCGGGTGCTCAAGGGCGGAGCGTCACTGAGGTGGGCCATGACCTCAGGCAAGGCCGGGCGCAGGAGGACGGGGGCGTCTGCCCTATGGCCTGGGACCCTTCCCCGCTTTTCTCCCTCCAGCTCTGGCAAGAGGGGCTTATGGATGTCCCCCTCCGCCTGCCCGGGATTGTGGGACAGCTGCCTCCGGTCAGCCCTGCTGACTCTTGCGTGGTCTGTGAGGCCATCAGTGTGAGCCCCGCGGGGCTTATGGGGAAAGGGGCACCCCAGGCGGATTGCGGGGGGGCCACGAAGGGAGCGGCCTGCGTGGGATGTGGGGTCCTCAGCCAGACACGCCTTCGGGAGTGCTCTGCACTACAGCTGGAGCCCCGTGGCTGGCGCGGGTGATGCAGAGAAGCACCCTGGGGTCATTCGGTGTCACCCGGCCCGGCCCACGAAGGGCCACGCTTCGTGGCCCCCGACACCGGAAGCTTGGTCTTGATCATTTCGCTTTCCGGGATGACGAGTGGCTTGCCATCCCGGAGCGAGAAGCCCCTGAATGTGACTCATCACAGTTGCCCTGTTTAACTCTAGCGACTCACACGCCTCCCGCTCTGATGAGGAAAGACAACCACATGCCGTGGGTGTGTTCACTCACTCGGATTGCTAAATGCTGCAGCTGGGCACTTGCAAGGGAGGGGGCTCGCGGGCAAAACAACGCTTGTTTTCGAAACAGAATCATGACCGTTCAGGTGACGCATTTGATCGTTCTTCTTTTTGTGTGGGGTTTGGTCCCCCTAGAAGTGGCTTTGATTTTGGTGAGCCAGGCTGCCTGGGGTCGGCATTCTGTTCACACGTGGGAGCCGGCTGCCCGTGGGGTCCTGCAAGCAGGATGGGGGTGCTGCAGCACTCTGACCCATATTCCCCAGCGACTGGTACACAGCCTCTGATCCTGGAGGCAGCCATGAGGACTAGTAGCCCTGAAGCACCCTATTCTTCTCCACGAATTGGTCCAGTTCCCATTTAACACATCAGTCGCATCACAGCATCTTGTGCCTCTGAGCATGCAGCTCCCGGTCATTTTGAGAGCCAGTGTGGCTTAGTGGTTCCATGTGTGGGCCTGGGACTCGGGCGACCCGGGTTCCGGCCCCCACTTTGGGCCAGTCAGACCCTCATCCCTACCTGCCCTCCAGGGCCATTGCTGTGGGGATCAGAGGGCAGGAGGAGAATGGTGCAAGCCGCTTTGAGTTCATTGTGAGGAAAAGTGGGATCTAAATCTAGCGAGCCAAGAGCAGTGCTGCAGATGGCCTTCCCTGGATCCTCCCCACACAGGTATCCCTCTGCCGTGGCCCCTGTTACGGGGCCGCCTCCCCAGCCCCAGAGCTGCAGCCGTTCCTCGCAGGGAGCTGCCCCAGCCCCTGCAGCGCCGCAGTCGCCCCTTTGCGGCTGCGTTGGAGGCTTGCCTGGGAAGCCTGGGTGGGGGGGGAGACGGGCCGTGGCTGGCTCGGGGTCTGCCTGTTCCCGCCTGGGCACTGCTGCGCCGGAGTGCGGCCCCTTCCCGAGCAGGCCGGCCGGAAGAACTGGCTCACGGGCTGCCCCTCCCCGGGGCCGGGGGAGGCCTGCGGGGCACCCCAGGCCCAGCAGCCGCCCCTCCAACATGGCGGGCGGGCAGGGCAAGGGACAGAGCCGGCTCGGTGCCCTGCGGCACGGCCTCTCGCGCTGCAGGCAGCTCCCCGGCTGCCCCACGGTCCCCTGCTGGGCTGGAATCCAGACGTCCGGCCAGCCACTGGCCGCTGTGGGCCGGCCTCCACTTCAGAGCCCGTCCTCGTGCTTCGCCAGCCAAGTCCGGACCGGCGGCACGGGCTGAGCCTGGCAGCCGGTGGCCGGGAGGCCCTGGGAACGGGTCCTCGTGGACGAGAGCCACTTGCTGGCCCGGAGGAGCCTGGATTGCAACGTGAGCAGCGTGCGTGCGTGCGTGCGAGCGCACAGTCGAGGCCTTCAGAGCTTCTCGAGGGAAGTGAAAGAGCAGGAGGGCGCGCTCGGCTCCCCGAGGCTGGCCGTGTGCAGCTTTCCCCCAGCCTGCTTCCTTCGGCTCCATTTCCACAGTGTCCCGGCCGCACGCCCACAGCTGCCGGAAGCAGGTGGGCCCTGGGCTGGTCTGGGCATGGGATCGGAGGTTCGTGCCCAACAGCCTGGAATAGGTGTCTCTTCTGGCGCACAGTTTTCTTTCCGTGTGCAAAGCCGCAGACCTGTCTGCCTGTGGCCTGTGCAGCTGGCGCTGGTGCGCAACGGCGCTGCTTTAAGCGTACTCTTCTGGCCACACTGCCACCATCTGGTGCTCTGCAGATGAGCTGAGCGGCAACTCCCACCAACGGGCATGGGGGACCTCTTGGGGGAAGCGTGTAATTGTGGGGGCAGAGGGGCCCCCGAAAGGGGACGGCCTTCGGCTCCCTCCTCCGCATCAGGCGCGGCGTGAGTGGGGCCTGGGGGCTTTTGCCTCCCGTCAGCAAGTCGTCTCTCGCGCATCCAGCTCCAAGCAGCCGCGGGAGAGGAGCCGGCCCTCGGGCTGTGGCCAGTCGGGGTGGTGGTTACGAGCCTGGGCTGGGACTAAGCCCGTCCGGGTTCGAGTCCCCACTCGGCCATGGAGCCTGCGGGGTGACTTTGCCCGCAGCCCAGCCTCCCGGGCGCCCACCTCGGGTTCCTTGCGAGAGGCACGACAGCGGGGAGTGGATGAAACGCAGCAATAACTTTGTGCACGGACGAAGCCTGGGGAGAGCTGAGGCGCTGACCCTCTCCGCGCCCTTTACTGGAAGATCTCGGAGATGCTTCCCCGCTCCCTCTGGATCAGGCCCAAGCCCTGCCTGCTATCAGCAGAAAGGCCTGCGGTGGCCTTGGAGTGGGCGGAGGCGCCGGCTGCTGCCCGGGATAACGGGCCGAGCCGGGGCTGGGCCGCCCCGGTCCAGGTCCTGTTTCAAGCCCAGGAGTCCCCGCCTGTTCGTTCGGCACGCTTGCGTCTCGCGCCGAGTGGGTCAAGCTAGCAAGGTCGGTCGGTCGGTCGCGCTGGGGGCGCCCCCGGGCGCCTGGCTTGGGATTCCACAACACAGAGAAGAAGGTTGCAAGGCAAGAGGCCCGGGCGGCAGGCAAGGTCTGGAAAGTCCGCCCGGCGCGTTTGGACGGGCAGGTGGGCTGAAATGGTGCGGACCCGGCTTTGGCCCCGTGGGGTGGAATGTGGGGCAGGGCAAGGGCTGAAACGGGGCCATGGGAACGCGGCCTCCCTGTTGGCCGACACCACCTGGAGCGCTCCAGTTGTGTCAGCCACAGCCCTGCAGCTGTGCAGGGCTACCAACAGCAGCTGGTGGGGGATGATGGCAGTTGTAGTCCAACACAGCTCGAGTTGGGTCTTCGCAGGGGAAGGGCTGGGGGGCTGGGCAAGGTGCGACTCAGGCCCAAAGGATGAGAAGGGGGCATGTTTCACAGCAGTGTGTGGCGAATGAGGGAGCGCATGGCCGGGGAGTGGAGGGCAGGGACCCCCTGGGACGCGTGGAGCGCCGGCGCCTCCTGGTGGCAGCAGCTCCCACACATCCCGCCCTGCCGGCTCAGCCCCTTCCTCCTGCGTGCCAGCAGCGCCTCGACGTCCCACCTCTTCTCTCTGTCTGCCCAGTGCGCTTTGAGGACTGCACGGAGAGGACCCGGGTTGCCTACACAGTCAGCGACACCCGCTTCCAGGTGCGCCCCGACGGCGTGGTCGTGGTCAAGCGGCCCTTGCAGCTGCGTGACCAGAAACGGAGCTTCTTCATCCATGCCTGGGATGCGGCTGGCAGGAAGCACTCCACCAGGGTGACGCTGCAGCATCGCGGCCGTGAGCGCCGTCGCCGGCACCACCACCATGCGGTACGGGGCCTCCGGTTTGCGCACCCGCGTCTCTGCCTCCCTCGGCACCCTTTCCTTTGCCGGGGGGCTCCGCTCCCCGCCTTGCTGGGTGTGCGGGCACCCCTCAGGAAACACCCAGGCCTGCTCTGGCGTTGCTGAGCCAGGGGCCCTGCCTTTCTCCACAGGAGTTCAGTGGCATCGCTCACACCCAGGTGCTGACCTTCCCGAAATCTGGCCCAGGCCTGAGAAGACAGAAGAGGGACTGGGTCATCCCCCCAATCACCTGCTCCGAGAACGAGAAGGGCCCCTTCCCCAAGGCGCTCGTGCAGGTAAGGGCTCCGCAGTGGGGTGGCTGCTCCGGGGGCCGACACGGGCCCAGGACGGCCCAAGAGGCGGGGACACCGGCTTGGACTGTCGCGGTGCCTAGCGGTGCCCCACCACGGACTCGGGGCGATGCCACGCTCCCCGGTCCAGGTGGAAGTGGGACCGCGAGGGCCTCACGTGTCCCCAGCAGCCCTTCTGCTCCGAGGGTCCGCTCCCGGCCGCCACCTGGCTGACTCTCTCAACCCACTTTCTGCACCAGATCAGATCCAGCAAGGCAAAAGAGATTACGGTCTTCTACAGCATCACCGGGCAAGGAGCGGACAGCCCTCCGGTCGGCGTCTTCATCATCGAGAGGGAGACGGGGTGGCTGAAGGTGACCCGTCCCCTGGACCGGGAAGCCATCGACAGATACATGGTGAGTCCGCCCGTGCCACCGCAGGCCTTCCGCCGAGCATCACGGGGCCGCGGTGCCTGCCGGGAAACGGCTTGGCCGCGTTGGGCTTCTTGTGCGGATCCCCGGTCGCTGGTGCTGCCACCTGGCACGGGTCCCACACCGCCAAAATTCATAGTGGTTTTGCCTCAGAACAAGGCATGCGGGGTGTGTGCCCCTCGCTTTGCAGCAGAATTCCCACAATCCAGCTGTTTCCACAGGGAACGGGGTTTCATGGGGCCTGCCATGTCGGTGGGAGCCCAATTCGCTGGGAAACCAAGCGTCCCTGTCTGCTTCCCTGGCTGGGAGCCTTTGCTGCGGCCACCGTGACCGGCAGGGGAGGGGAGGGGTTCGCCTGCCGGGGGCTCCAGAGAGCAGGCGTGGTCCCCCGTCTCCCCCAAGTGGCCACCCGGATCTGGAGCGAGGAAGGCTCTGCGGCACCTGTGGGCGCCCGCCGGAGCCTTCCCTGGGCCCAGAGCCACCAACACGGCTCTTCAGTGGCCTCTGACTGCCTCCGCCCTCCAGCTGAATTCCCACGCGGTGTCTGCCAACGGGCAGCCCGTGGAGGACCCCATGGAGATCATCATCAAGGTGAGCGACCAGAACGACAACCGGCCCCAGTTCACCCAGAGCATCTTCCGAGGAGAGGTGCCGGAAGGAGCCAAGCCAGGTAGGAATCTGCCCTCGGGTGCACAACTGCGCCCAGAGGCGAACGGCGCGCTTGCCGCTGCTCAGCGCAGAGGTCGTCCTGCTGAAGCGTCTGGCGCACTTCGCGTCCATGGGCAGGGCCCCGGGCAGGGAAGGGCGCGTGGTCGCGGGCCACGCGGTTGTGGCAAATGCCCGGGCCCCCACCGAGCCCACCCGGCCCTGCGTGCTCCGTGGAGACCCACAGCACCCTGCACAGGGGCCGCGATGCCTGCTGTGACTTGGAGGCTGCGGGACCCTCTGCGGCGGCCAGGGAAGGAGGGGCGCTCTCGGCCCTCCTGCCGCTTCCACCTCGTCCGAACGCCCTCCGCCTGCCCGCCTGCCCAGGTACCGCCGTGATGCAAGTGACGGCAACTGATGCCGACGACGACATCGACACCTACAACGGGGTCATCACCTACTCCATCCTCAGCCAGGAGCCCCCACTGCCCTCCGGACAGATGTTCACCATCAACAACAGCACGGGCTTGATCAGCGTGATCACGACGGGCCTCGACCGGGAGGTGAATGCTGGGCCGGGTGGGGTGGGGTGGGGTGGGGGGCACGGGGCCTCGCTGGTGCCCCGAGAGCGCGCTCCGCACTTCGCCAGACTGTGCCCCCTCTTCTCCGCTCGCCTTTGCCGCAAGTGTGGCTTTGCCGCCCGTCCCAGAGGTCCCGCTCACGCGTGGGGGGGCCACACACCCCCTGCAGCCCTTTCCCCACCTCTGCCTCAAACGGTGCTGCCGGTTCTGCTTCCAGAAATATCCCCAGTACACGCTGGTCCTCCAGGCCACAGACATGCTGGGCGAAGGCTTCTCCACCACCGGGACCGCAGTGATCTCCGTCACCGACACCAACGACAACCCGCCCATCTTCGACCCCGCCACGGTAAGGCCGGGGCGCCTCCCGCCCTCTCCTGGGGCGCACGGACCCCACCTTGTGCCCCGCCAAGCCCCTCCCGCCACACACGCAACGCCACAACCTCCGCCACCGCCCAAAGCGGCCTGGCCCAGGGAGCAAGCCGGCCCTGGGGGTCCCCGGTCCGGACGAGGACGGTCGCCGCACGCCTCCCGTGACGCTGCTCCGGGCTCCCCTCCCAGCAGAGCCTCCCGCAGGATGCGGCCAAGCCCTGTCCCTTTGTCCCACAGTACAACGAGACTGTGCCAGAGAACCGGGTCGGCGTCGTGGTTGCCAGGCTGCGGGTAAAAGATGCCGATCAGGAAAACACCGCGGCATGGAAGGCCAAGTACACCATTGGGCGAGGCAATGACGGGGGCAACTTTGCTGTCACCACCGATCCACAAAGCAACGATGGCATTTTGACCACTGTGAAGGTGAGCGAAGGACCCCTCTCCCCGCATCCTTTGTGGGTGGGGCCTCCTGCGTCGCATCGGCCGCCCTTCCCTGTGCGGCTGCGCCTTTCTGGGCTCTGGAGTGGCTGGTTCCGGCCATGCTGCTCCACCGGGTTTTAGCTGCCAAAGCGGTGCCCGGGCCCCCCAGGCCGCCGGGAGCTCATCCACTTTGCGAAGCTGCAGCGCTTGCTTGCATCTGTGGCTTATTGCAAATGCCCCGGCGGCTGGCTGAGTGCGGGGGGGGCAGAAAAGCACCCGGTGGGTAATCAGGTCCCGGCGCTTCCACTCGTGTGGTGCTGGCACCCGGGCCAGAGCTGCGGGCCCCGCTGCCCTGGCCCATCGCTCCTTCTGGCGCCTCCCCCAGGGCCTGGACTACGAGGCGCAGAACCGGTTCGTCCTCCAAGTGACCGTGCAGAACGACGCTCCCTTCGCGGTGAACCTTCCCATATCCACGGCCACGGTCATCGTCAACGTGGGCGACGTCAACGAAGCCCCCACCTTCATCCCAGTCCAGAAGAGCATAACGGTGCTGGAGGACTTGGCCGTCGGGCAGCGGGTGGCCACGTTCACCGCCCAGGACCCGGACAAGAGCCTGCAGCAGACCATCCGGTACGGGGGCCCCTCGCCCTGCCAGGGCTGCCTTCCCTTTCCCCTGTAAGGGGCCCGCCAGGGGATGGAGAGGAGCCGGCCGAGCCCGGCTGCGGGTCACCCTGGATTTCTTAAAAGTCGAGCAGCGAGATGTGACTGTGCTAAGAAGAAGAAGAGGAGCCGAAGCTGCTCCGGCTCTCGCGGCTGAAATGTGCCTGGCAACGAACCCCCCTGTTCCCCCTGCAGGTATTTCATTGGCAGGGACCCGGCAGGCTGGCTGATCGTCAACCCCAACACTGGCCTGGTCGAGACGAGGGCCCCCCTGGACAGGGAGTCGGACTGGGTGACCAACAGCACCTACACGGCCCTCATCCTGGCCAGCGACAACGGTAGGTGTGCGGGGCCGGCGGCTTCCTCGCACCCCACTGCGTGTCCCACATGCGGCATGCGCAGGCCCCTGCGGGGTCAGGGCGGTCCTCTATCCAGCATTTCTGGGGGCCAAGAAGCGCCCCCGGGTCCTGCGCACATTCTCCCGGGCTCGCTTCTCTCTGCTGAACTTGCCTTGTCAAGTTCAAAACGAGAAAGGTCGTGTGTGGCGAGAGATGGAGCTTTCCAAAGTTCGATCAGCTGAGCAGTCCATGTCACTGAGGCGTTACTGTTTCTTAAATTTCTGGAGGAGAACCTCTTCCCGGGCAGACCTGGAGGGCACTGGGGCTCAGCTGGCAAAATAGGGGGCCAGGGCAGAGAAGGCCCTGCTGTAGAGCAGGGAAGAGGCAGCCGAGGAGCCCACGGGGTACCCGCAAATCAGGCGGCCTGGAAAAAGGTTGCGTTGCTCCGGGCAGGACGTGCTTCTGAGGGGCCCATCCAGGAGCTCCGTGTGAGTCATGGCTGCCTTTTCCATCCAGGCTCCCCGCCAGAAACGGGCACGGGAACGCTCCTCATACACCTCGAGGACGTGAACGACAACGGGCCGGAGCCGACCCCGCGATCCTTCGACATCTGTGCCCGGAGCCCCCAGCCCCAAGTGCTGCGCATCGTGGACAAGGACCTCCCCCCGAACACTGGCCCCTTCTCTGCCCAGCTGGAGCTGGGCTCCAGCGCCAACTGGACCGTCGCGGTGAACGAGGGTAAGCGCGTCGTGCCGAGGAGAGGGGGGCTCGGGGGGAGCTGCTCCAGGCGGTGGGGGGCTGCGCCTGCCCGTGCCCCTGCGTGTCCGCGGTGCAGGCTGGCCGTCCCGGGGAAGTCCGCTCTGCCACACGCCGTCTCCCCCCCGGCAGCAGCCCAGCGGGCCGGCCACGCATGGGGATGAGGCCAGCGGTCGACGTGACGACGGGCGGGCGCTCGTGACACCGTGCCCGGCCTCCGTCAGGCGGCGTCTCGCTCCCGGCGCTCCCCTGTGAAATCGGCCGTGGAGTTCGGTCTGCTGCGCCCAGGCACCGTCGGATGCCATCCGAGGACCGGCAGCGCCCGTGACACACGGCAGCAGGTCGCGCGCCTGAGTCGCCTGCCCCACTCCTTCCCGCTTGAGCGGAAACGCTCCCATAGGCACTCAGTATGGAAAGCGGGATCCCAGCGACGGAGCGTCTTCCAAGTGTGTGCCTCTCGAGAGCGACGGCGGAGCCGAGCGGAGCCTGGTCCCTTTTCCTCTGGCAAAGTGGGGACCGCCCGGGGGGGACCAGCCCGGGCCCCCCGCGGCTGATGTCTTTCCTGCCGCCCTCCCCAGGAGACAGGCTGACCCTGAAGCTGACCAAGCAGCTGGAGCCCGGAGACTACAGCATCGCCCTCAAGCTGACCGACGGGCCGGGGCAGGCCCAGGTGACCACGGTGCAAGCCCGCGTGTGCGACTGCGAGGGGGAGGCCAAGGACTGCGAGCGGCGGGCCTACGTGGCGGGCGGCCTGGGCGTCCCGGCAATTCTGGGGATCCTCGGAGGCATCCTGCTCTTTCTGAGTGAGTAGAGGCACTCTCGCAAGCAGGCCTCCTGGGCTGTGTTTTCTTGGGGGGAGCCGGGGCATAGCTCAGTCAGAAAGTGGGCAGACAGATCTCCTTGCACCCCCAAGGACAAAGGCTGTGAAGGAGGCACGTGCTCTGGGAGCGTGTATTCAAACTGACAAGCCACATTCTGGATCCCAAAAAGCTGAATTCTGCGACCTGAACAAATTACGCGGACTTGTCTCTGCCGCTCGTCCTGGGAAGGGCATCAGCCTGTGTGAGGCACGGAAGTCCCTCTGTGGGCGGAGATCCTCTCAGGCTCCCTTTTCTTCCCCGTGTCTTAGCTTTCTCCAGATGCTGCTGCCTCCCCTCTTTCATCTTCCCAGCCACATCGTCATTCCTAACGAGGGCAATTAACACAGTGTTTTTAAAAGCAGTAATGACTGGCAACTGAAACTCTGGGGGCACCAAATTCTGGGCATGGAATATGCAAAGGGAAGTTGCTGAGCGTGGTGAAAGGGTGAAGGGAGCAGCCAGGCTGAGTTTGGAACGCGGCAGAGCTGTCTAGTGGGGGGGGTGCTTGTGGGTGTTGTGAGGGGCCCGAGGGGCACTTTGTGGCCTGGCAGATTGAAATCTCAATCACAGTTTATGCTCCTGCAAGGACACCCCCTCCTGGCTTCTCTCTGCAACCGTGAGAGCTGGAGGCTTGTGTCCCGCTGCAAGTGGAGCCGCTCAGTCTCTGCACTGGCCACAGGCCGGCGTGCAGCTAAAACAACCACGTCCATTACAAAAGAAGGCACATCAGCCGATGGGAGGGAAGGAGAGAGCAGATGTGTACTGCTCTGGGGGAGGCACTGCTGGGGGAGAGGCAGCCCCGGCCTGCTTTCACTGTGCTGCCGGCAGGCAGCTGAGATCCCCTCCGCTCCTGGCTTTGGGCTCTGGGACCGTGCGGAGGCCCCCGCGGCTCAGGGCCCCTCTGGTCTTCCCGCTGCTAGTCCTGCTGCTGCTGCTGCTGCTGTTTGTGCGGAGGAAGACGGTGGTGAAGGAGCCTTTGCTGGCCCCGGAGGACGACACGCGCGACAACGTCTACTATTACGACGAAGAAGGCGGTGGGGAGGAGGACCAGGTGGGTCTCTGGGCCGTGGCGAGTCGGCCACCGTCCTGAAGCCTTCTCCCGCTGGCTGGCTGGCTGGCTGGCTGGCTGGCTGGCTGGGGATGCTTGGAGATGGGTTCAGCCCTCGGGGCGGGGGGGGGCAGTCCAGGAAGGCTGAATGCCGCTTCGTTTTATTGTGGAAGCTCAGCTTGTGCCATCCTGGGCCTTCCAATACAATTTCAGAAGCAGCCAATACTTGCCTTGCTTTTGCTATCGAGGCAGCGAACGACAAATCTAATAACCGACATGTGCAAACAGTGACTGGCACGGGAGGCGTCTTGCCAGCGCCCCTTGATTTTGCCTGGCTGACCGCTCTGGCAGAAGCGGGTTGAGGGCTGCCCCCCCACACCCCTGGGTCTGTCTCCTGAGCCCCTGTCCCTGTCCCAGGACTACGACCTGAGCCAGCTGCACCGCGGCCTGGATTCCCGCCCTGAGGTCACTCGCAACGACGTCGCCCCGACGCTCATGCCGGCCCCGCAGTACCGCCCGCGGCCTGCCAACCCCGACGAAATAGGCAACTTCATTGACGAGGTGAGCGGCGCGTGGGGCCCAGCGAGCCAGGCAGGCAGGCGAGCGAGCTTCAGGGGGCTTCCTGAGGCCCTGCGGCTGGCCCAAGCCTCTGGCTCTAGCGGTGGGCTGGGCGGGAGCAGGCCAGGCCGGGCCCCTTGGCTTTCCCAGGCCGGCGGCAGCCCGGCTCTGCGGCACCGGCCGTCCTCGCTTCGCCTGTGCGAGCCGCTGTGGGGTTGGGCAGGTGGACCTGACGCCGGGATCCCTCCCCGCAGAACCTGAAGGCGGCCGACACGGACCCCACGGCGCCCCCCTACGACTCGCTGCTCGTCTTCGACTATGAGGGCAACGGCTCCGAGGCCACGTCGCTGAGCTCGCTCAACTCCTCCAACGGCGACCGAGACCAGGACTACGACTACCTGAACGACTGGGGCAGCCGCTTCAAGAAGCTGGCGGACATGTACGGGGGGGGCGAGGAGGAGGACTAGCGTGAACTGACCTGGGGCAGCTGTGTGTGCGAGCGAGAGAGCGAGCGAGTGTGCGTGCGTGCGTGCTAGAGAGGCGGGGAAGCAGTGCGCGATGGCCAGCGCTGCCTCTCTGTGTATCCGTGGCCAGAGCACGGCAGGAAAGGGGACCCTCGTGCTGTGGGACCCTCTTGAGCTGGATCCAGACACCCCCCCTCGCACGCCGATGGCGGTCTCTGTGGGGCAGCTGCATCTTTTTGAGGCCTCTGCCGTTGCAACTTAGACTGGAACCCCCAAATGGAAAGGGGGTCCTCACACACGGCTGGCGGCCTTTACCAGGCTGTGCGCCCTGAATTGCGCCCGCCAGGCTGGCAAGGGCTCCTGCTCTGGGTCTTCCGGCCGTTTCTGACTATACCAAAGTACCAAGGGCCCGTGCGGCGATTTACCTGAGCATCATACCAAAAACGCTGCCGTCGGCTCCCCCGGGGGTGGGCGTGTCCTCTGCCCGCCGTCTCTTGGCCGCATCTCCTCCCTTTCCACATCTCGCCCTTCACTGACCTATGGCTCCCCCACTCGCAGAGTATTTGACAGGACGTTGCGCAAATATCTTGCTCGCAAGCCAAGGAAGTGGGTGCAGGGAAAGCACGGCATTAGTGAGCGCTGGCACCGGGTGGGACCCAGGCGTGGCATGCGGTGCCCCGGCCCGCAAGTCCCGCCGAAGGCACCTCGCCACGAGGCCCGAGCGGGGCAGCCCGCCTGCTCACCCTCCAAGTAACGCCGCACTTTGGCTGCTTCTCGCACTGATTCCACAGCTCCGACCAAAGACGATACTCAGGGCTGCGCGTGGGGGGCCGATCCCGCCCAGGCTCAGCCCAAACGGGAAATCTGGGCTTGCCCGGGAGGGGATGCGAGGGGAGGACTGCCTGGCCTCTGGCAACAGTGGCCAGCCAGATCGGGGGGCACTTTCAGGCCTGCCCCCCAAAGCTCCTCCGGAATGAGAAAGGCTCAAAAGGATTCCTGGATCCCCGGGTCCCAAGTGCTTCTCCCCACTGCTCTGGCGCCAAACGCCCGCCCCCTCTGCGTCCACACACGGGCTGTTCTGCGCCCCCGAAATACTGCAGGGGTGCGTGGCCACCCCCTCCTGCCCAAAGGGTTTCTAGTCCGTTTCGGCTCTTCTCGCCAGATAGGACACCTTACTGTGCTTTGCCAAATCTTTCCTTAACCGTTTCCTGCACGTCCATGTACGGTTCACGTTCCTGCTGATCGAGTGAGTGAGTGCCGTATAAAAATGCAATTGACTACATTTGTCCAGGCCATGATTGACGTGCCGATTTCCCCCGATGATTGTATAAATACTGTCCAACCGAGGGTATTTTAAAGTGGGTTTTCTGTATTTTTGGATCTGTATATTTAGGTTTTTTAAATATATATATAAAGAATCTAGAGGAACCGAAAAGCCATTATTGCAGATCATTTTGTAATACACTTGTAATAAAAACCTTTTTCGTAAAAAAAAGAGCTGTGCTTCCGTTTGTGGCTGGCTCTCCCTCCGCACGCCCCGGCCTCCCTTTGCCAGCGCGCGCCTCTCACGGCCCCGTCTCGGGGACGCGCCGGCGGGCGAGGAAGCGGCGCACCCGCGGGAGACGCTCCGCAAAAGGGGCTGAGCCGCTGCGTGGGCCCTGCGGGGCCGTCGCAGGACGGCGGCCAGAAAGCGCGCAGGAGGCGCTCGGGCGCTGCGCGGCATCCTCCGGGCGCCTGCGCGGGCAGGCGCGGCGTCGACCCAGCCGCCCTCCCCGCCATGGCGACGGCGCCTCCGACCTTCCTGAGAGGGCCGCTCGCGCACCGCCTCGCCGGACCTTCCCAAGATGGCGGCGCGGCGCGGCGGCCCCGCCTCTTCCGCCCCGCCCCTCCCAAGATGGCGGCGCCGAGGCTGCCCCGGCGTGTGGAGGCAGCGGTCGGCGCGGCCATGGCCGGGGGCGAGGCGGCGCTGAGGCGGGCGGTGGAGGGCCTGGAAGTGCTGCTGGGCCGGGCCGGCGCCGCCGGTGAGGGAAGGGGCGGGGGGCGGGGGGCGGGCCCGGCCCGGCCTGAAGGGCTGCTCCGCCGCGCGCCGTCGGCTTTCGGCGCCCCGCCCTCGCTGCGCTCCCGCCGCTCCGCCAAGCCGCGCAGGGCAGCGCCCAAGGCCCTCCTCGCCCCTTCGGGCTGCGGCCGGATGCTCGGGGCGGGCCTGTGAGGGAGGCTGAGGCCGGTGAAGGGCGCCGGGGGCCTGCGCAGCCGCCTCTGGCCTGCTGCCTCTAGAGCTGCTGGACAGCAGCATGGCGGGTTGGGCTGGGGATCATGGGCACTGCAGTCCGGCTCATCTGGACAGGGCCTCCTCAGTGGTGGCCCCCTGACTTAGGAAGGCTTCCCCCAGTGAGCTCTGCCTGGAACCAGTACTGTCTCTTTGCTTGCACTGGCCTAGCTCCTGCCTCTCCTCCCAGGCATCTGGTAGTGCAAGATAAGGCCTTTAGTGCATTCTTGGATTCCCACTGCTGATTGTTTAACGTAGTTTGAGGATGTTTGTATGGTGTTACGCTATACTGTTGTACCTTTAGAGTCTTAACCATTATAAACAGCCCAGAGAGTTCTGGCGGTTAGATGGTGTAGCAATGCAAGGAATGAATGACCTGAAGTCCCCAGCAGCCATTTCACTTTTATCTGTTTTTTTTCTGGGGACAGATTCAGGCTGCTGCCAGGAAATGAAGCACGCCAATCTGCTGGAATCCCTGCGCTTCAGGGTAGCTCTCTTGGAGCAGAAGCTCACCCGGGAGCCGCAGTGGGATGAATTGCGCCGGCTGAGAGCCGAGGTATCTGAGCAGGTGCCCTGGCTGCTGCCCTGTCCGGAGGGGGCCTGGGACTTCACCCAGCATGCCTTGCTCCTGCTGCTGAGCCTGAAGCGGTCCATGGATCTCCTCGCAGCTGCGTACTCTCCCCCGCCGCCGAACCCCAGGACCGCCGAGGCTGCACCCCCTCTGCGCCCCGACACCCTCAGCATCGCCCAGGAGCGGACGGTGCAGGCGGCCCTGCAGGCGGTGGTGGCTGTGGGCCTCTGCCCATACCTCTCGCCTGGAGTCGGGCTGCCCCTGAGCCGCAGGACCGAGTTCAGCGCCCTGGTCCAGGCGGTGGCGGCCTCCGGCGGCCCTTCCCAGGCCCCGCGCAAGCTTTTCACCACCTGCATCGGCCTGCTGGAGATCGCTCAGCACCCAGCGCTGGGTGGCCTTATTCTCACCCAGCACCTGGGGGATCTGCTCGCCGGCTTGTGTCAGCTTGGATTCTGCCCTGTGAGGAAGAAGAGTGAAGAAGCAAAGATGCCGGAAGAGCGAGCGGTGAGTGTTCCTCCTGGAGCCACAGAGGTCGGGGCTCCTGAGACGGTCATACTCCCTTCCCCCTCTGCCCCCTGCTTGGTGGTGGCCGGTGTCTTGTAGCTTTTTCCTGTGGGGAAAGACAGGGGAGTCCCCACGTGTAGGCATGTCATGAGCGGAGCCGGCTGGAGCCAGGGGTCAGGCTAGGTGGCCTGGGAGGCCCCTCCTGACTCGCTTTGTGTCTATGTTTTTATGTTTTTCTCCAAAGGGAGCAAAACTTTGGGGTGGCATGATTTGGGGGAAAACTGGGTAGAGCAAGGGCAGGGCATCGCACCCTCCCACTTTCTCCTTGCACCCTGGCACCTCACTTCGGATGCCTTTCAGAAAAGCCCTCCGTGGGGAGAGACACAGACAGGCTCCCCGTGTGGGGATTCGGGATTCCAGGCCTCCTGGAAGGTGGTAGCAGAGAGCCAAGACCCCGCTAGAGGGAGTCGGCGCTGTGTGAATGAGGCTCTGGGTGGTTTCAGGGGCTCCCTGAAGAGGAGCGAACCCGCTGCAAGGAGGCGTTGCGAGGCCTCCTGGACAGAGTTTACCAGCCGCTGGTGGTTCGGGAGCTGCTGCTGCTTCAAGGTGGACCCAAACAGGTACTGCAGGTGGTCCCTGTGGCAGGACATCCCGGTCTGCAGCATGCCTCCCTCAGCTGCCTCCTTCCTTCGGCTCGGCCCTGGGCATTTCTTGTGCTGCGTGATGTCGGTTGCAGTCCAGTGAGTCTGGAGGCAGCAGGTGGGGGAAGAGGCCCGAAGCCCACGTCTGACCTGTCCGGCTGTAAAAAGAAATGGCTTCATTGGCCCTTATGCGGCCCCTTTTTCTTGGTGTGGTGTTTTTAAAAATATGCGAGTGGGGAAAAACGTGTGTAAGAACTGGCTGTGAGCAGGCCTGCCTTCCCCTTCCCCCCGGCCCCGATGGGGCCCAGGGGGCCCCTTGAGCAGGAGACCGTTCCCTCCCTGTTTCCGTGCCTCTGAGCAGCAGGCGCGTCCGTGCACTCTGCCGCGTAGGGTGCATCGTGCTGCAAAGCCATCCCTGAGCGCGTCCTGTGTGCTGCGGCTTGCTGGAGCACTGCTTTCTGCCCAAAGGGACGTTTTCTCCCCCCTCCACACACACACCCCTTCTCTGTCCTCGCAGGGCGCCTGTTCCAACAGGCGGGGCAGCGAGCAGTGTCTGGCTCCGGCCCCTGCCTGGCTGCGACGCCTCTGCGGGCAGCTGCTCTCCGAGAGGCTGATGAGACCCAACGGGGTGCAGGCTGTGGTCCGTGGCATCCTGGAGGGCGCCGGAGGTGAGTGCCAGGATCCGGGCTGCTCTGGGGGCCAGGAGCCAGATGCCCACCCGCGCTGCGTTCGCGGGGTCGTTCCCGGGCCCCGCTGGAGCGCAGCGGAGCGCCACCCGGGAGGCCTGCGGAAGAGCTGAGCGAGAGCGAGCTGTTCGCTCAGTGCCAGCCCTGCTCCCTGCCCTCGGCACACGAGGCCTTCTAGCCTCTGTGCCCGCCTCCTGCCTCCCGCCGCGGCCCTGTGGTGGCCCGGAGCCTGACTTGGCGCCTTCTCTGCTTTCCAGCGGGGGCTGTGGGGGGCAGCGGTGCCGAAGCAGCGGCAGCCGACTGGCAGAAGTGTGACGCGGTGGCCAGGATCCTGTCCTCCTGCCCCCAGCAGTCCCTGTCCCTGGAGGACTATTACCGACAGGTGTGCCCGCAGGTAAGCCCGTCGTCTTGCCCCTGCCAGAAGGTGCCTCAGGGTTCCCCTGGGCCATGGTGCGGGGCGGATGTTCGTTCTCGGATGGCAAATGGGGTGGAAGCGCAAAAGCTGCCCCAGGCAAGTGGTCTGAGCCGCCTGTGCCCGGTTTCTTCTCCAGGTCTTGCAGCTGTTCCTCCTCCAGGACAAGCTAGCAGCCCGTCAGTTCCAGCGAGTGGCCACTGCAACCGTCCTCGGCATGGCGAGGCAGTGCCCACGGCAAGCAGAGAAGCACCTGCTGCGCCCCATGCTGGGCCCGCTTCTGCGCTGCCTGGAGGCGGCAGGTGATGGCGGCTTCCTGTCTCTGAAGCGCCTGCACCGTCCCCGGGAGCTGGCGGGCTCTTTGTGGCCACCCGATTATCCTCCGGGATTGTGAAAAGCCTTCCTAATGTCCTGCAGTAGCTTTGGGATTTGGCTTCATTGGCCTGGTGATGCTGGAGTATCTCGTTCCCTTCGTGAATCCCGCACTCCACTCCACTCCACCCCACCCCACCCCACCCCACCCCACACACGCCCGAGAGAAGCCTGCTGACTTAGTAGCCCATCACAAAACGGGCAGATCTCCTAGTAGCTTGTTCTGGATGGTTTTGCTTAATGGGGTAGTCACTGTAGCGTGGAATTAAATGGAACAGCCCGTACCGTGCTGAAGGATTGATGTGCTGCCACGGTTGACTGTAGCCACAGAATTTTGAGAGCCCCATTCTCTGCTCTGTTCAGAAACTTCGCTGGACGATCTGCCGGCAGGAACGGTGCTGGTGGAGGAGGAGGAGCTCAGCTCGTGTGTGGAAACCGTGTTTAAGGTACAGCATCTGATGCCTTTTTCTGTAGGGCTGCTGCAATGCAGAGTGATGAGCGGGAAATGGCCACTGAAAAAAGGATCTTTAGGAGAAGACAGGCCTCCTTTTCAGCTTCCTGCCATTTGCTTTGTTTAAAAACAGACAGACATGCTTGGGCCTCAAAAGTATCTCAGAATATCTGTAGAACAGCTGTGCAGATTCCTGTTCTGCAAGCAGCAGAGCTCCCAAAACGCACGAAGCCAAGTTCAGTACAGATATTTTGATGTCCATTTAAAACCAAGATTCTCCGCTAGCACCACCAGCAAACAGAATTAAAATCCATGCAGGACAAGTTATGCTACAATTTTTCACAAAGAGTAAGGCAAACTGCCGCTAGGAAGAAAAATTCAGTGGCCTGCTATTTCTATGGGTTTGGGTTGATTTAGTTTGGCTCGGTTCAGTTCGGTTCTGTTTTGCACAGCCTCAGGGAAAATTGTGTCCTGCATCACCTGTGCTGGCTGCTGACTGAACCCCTTGAGGGGAACTCCAGCTTCAGCATTTTGGTTGCCTCAAGCTCTTTCTAACGGGGTCAGAAATGACCCCACAATGCGACTCGTGCCATTCTTTGTTGTGGGTGGATGCGGGAGCCTTCCCCTCGCCTAGCTGCTGTGAGGATTGGTGCGTGCCTGCTCTCGCCCCATCTTGGGGCCTGCCTCCGAGCACGGGCAGCCGTTGTGCCAGTGGAGTGGAGTGGAGGCCCCGGGCAGAAGCCGCAGCCAGGAGCTCCCTTCCAGGGTGTCTCTGGCATCCGGTTGCTGAAGGCCTTCGGCTGGCTCCCTGTCTGGAGAGCCGCTGTCCTGGCCACCGCTCCGCACTGGCTGTCGTCGCTCTGGCACGGCTCCCGCCTCTCCTGCCGCCTTCAGGCCCTGCCCCGTTCAGCCCGGCATTCCAGGCATGAGCTCGCTTCGCAGTCTCGCCTCCTGCCCGGCTTGTTCTCTGAGCCTGCCGGCACTGACCTCCCGGATGCGCCAGAATTCCGGTAGCCATGCTCAGGGCCGCCGTTTAACGGCGTGTACATCTTTGCCCTTCAAACGGTGCTCCGCTGGAAGCCGCGCGCCTCTCGCAGGAGGTGCTTGCTCAGCACTTCGGCAGCACAATTCATTCCGGAGCGTCATCCATTTTCAAGGTGCTTGCCGAGCCAGTGCATTGGGAAGCTCCTTTCCCGAAGCAGAAGTTGCTGTGTGAGGGAAGCGGCCGTCCAACGCAGAGGGACCGGGCTGGGGTTGGGCGGACCGCCAGGCCGACGGAACGGCTGCAGTGAGGGGCAGCTCCGCCCTGGCCGGCCGGGGTGCAGGAGGGGGGACATTCGGTCGAAACGGGGGGCAGGGAGCCAGAGGGAGCCCCGCCTGGTGCCCCTCGTCCGTGACCAAGGAGGCCGGGGTGGGCCGCCCCTGTCGCCTGAGCTGCAGGACGTGGTGCCGAGCGAGGAGCCGGCAGAGGATCCGGTTCCGACGGAGCCGATACCGGCGGCACTCGTGCAGGGCTGCCCTCGGAGCACGAAGGGCAAAGAGGCGAAGCTGCTGTGGTCGCCGGGCCGGCCGCCGGCGGGCGTTCCCAGCGCAGGTGCAGCGGGAGGGCCTCCCCCCGGGGCCGAGCGCTCGTCCCGGCCAGAGCCCCCGGTGCGGGGGCAGCGCAGCTCCAGGCTCAGGGCAGGCAGCACCGGCTCCCGAGCCCTTGAATGCCCCGCCTGCTCCACGGCGCCTGTGGGGGGGACCTGCTGCTCGCAGCTCGGGAGCGGGAGCGGGCCCCCAGGCGGCCACAGCAGCCCAGCACACGCGTGCGGGCGCGGGCAGGACCCCTGGGGAGGGCAGGGGCAGGAGCCTGCCGGACAGATCGGGGGGCAGGTGAGGCCGGCCCCTGCCCTGAGGAGGCCTCGGGCCATCACTGCCAGACTTGTGGGGGGGCAGGCACCTTTCGCGGGGCACGGAGAAGAACCGATGCAGCGGCGCTGTTTGCCGAGGAAAGCTGACCGGCACGGCCTGCTGGCGCTCTGCACGTCTGCTCTGCTGCTTGCCTTGCCCAGCGTAATCTAGTCCTGCGGAGAGGCCGAAGGAGGCTGGCTGACCGGCCTTGTCAGCACTTCCGGGCACCTTCCTGTCACAATGGGGGGCTGGAGACAGGCTCCCCCGAGGGATTGCCCAGCCCCACGGCCCTTCTCCGGTGAGCAGAACCGTGATGATGCACCGCATTCACAGGCCACCTTCCTCGCCGCCCCTGTGCCCAGCCCACTCCGGTTCTGACCCGGGCGGCTGGTGCACAGGCGGACGCGCCCCCCTCCCCTCCCTCCCCTCCCCTCCCCCCCCCTCCCCTCCCCTGCCCTGCTCTGCTTGCCGCCTCAGCTTCCTCTCTCCCCGCAGGTGTACGTGGTCGGCAATGAGCCCGTGCCGGTGCTGATGGAGGCCCTGCAGCTTGCTCTGGGAGTCCTCTTCTCCCTCTGGTGCTTTGCCAGGCAGAACGTCTCCTTCTTGCGGTAAGGGACGCCCAGCTGCTTCTGCGTGCGGTGCTCCTGCCTCGTCGCAGGAGGAACTTCCCCGGTCGGAGGGCAGCTGCTGGGTGCGCGGGGCAGGCAGCCTTCTGGCTCGCCGGCGCCCATCCTCTCCTTGCCTTCAGGGGCCGCGTGCCACCGCCACCTGCTGCTGCTGGCCTCCTGGGCGTTTCCGCAGGGTGGCCGCTCTGCTCACTGCCGCCCCTCTTCCTTCCAGCACGCCATGCCAGGAGATCCTGCTCTGGTTCTTGGAGAAGAGTGAGAGGAAGGTGGCGCTGGGCGTCCTGGGAGGACTTGCGCAGCTGGGAGGAGCCCCCCGCCCGCCCCATCCACGCTGCCGGTTCCAAGCGGCCGACGAAGGGGGTGCGATGGCCACCATCACAGAGGCCGCCAGGTGAGTGGTCGCCAGGCCTGCCGCACCTGTCCCGAGACACCCGGGGCCGTCCCGGAGGGAGCGTTTTGGGTCTGGCCTCTTGGCACGGGTGGCGATTCTCTCCCGTCCTCGGAGCACGAGGGGTTCGGCGGCAGGCCTGGGAGTTTCTGCAGGTTGCCACGGACAGCCCCCACGCACGGACCGCTGAAGGGTGAGAGGGGCAGCACCCGCCTCCGCTGGCTTCTGCGTTTTGTGGCTGGGGAGGCGGGTGCGGACTGTCCCGGGTGCTGTGGGGCAGCCCAGAAGCTCCGGGAAGCCCCCACGCACATGGGAGAGGCACCCCGCTCTGGCTGCCGGCCTTGGGGAGGGGAGGCCCTCTGTGTGGGGCACCTGCAGCCTTCGGTCGGAGCACCCAAGGAGAGCAGGGGGCCGGGCCGGGCCGGGCCAGGAGAGCCGCCGCTTGCCTTGTGAACGGCTTGTCTTCCCACTGGCCAGCGATGAAGACGAGGCGCTGTATGAGAAGGTGTCATCCGAGCAGCGGCAGCTGGAGCAGCTGGTAGAGTTGCTGTCTCACTGCCAGAGCAGTGGCTTGGCCGGAGAGTTCTTCCTGTCCTGCTTGAAGGTAAGAGGCAGGTAAGAGGCGTCTTCCCCGCACCTGGGGGCCTGTCGGTCCCACCCCCACTCGCTCCCGCAGGGGCCAGGCTGGTGGGCGAGGGAGGGAGTCGCGCTCCCTCCAGGCAGCTGGTGGGCCCCGTGGGCGTCCTCCTGGGGCCCCCAAGGGCCTCTGTTCCATGCAGCGCCTCCCGTCAGACTGGGGGCACCCGGCCTCAGCCGCCTGTGCTCTAAATCAGATTGCTGCAGTGCGCTCCGTGTGGGGCTGCCCTGGACAGCTGTCCAGCTGCAGCTCGTGCCCGTTGCGTCAGCCAGACCATGATGCCTGGGCCCCAAGGTCCACGTGGAGCGCCCCGCTGAGGCTGGCCGTCTGCAGCCGTGGCACTTTGCCGGAGCTTCGCCGCTTGCCCGAAATCCTGGCCTGCTCTCACCGTGGGATTGCGCTGGCGCCGATGCACCGTCGGGCGGCCCGCAGGGTCCCTGCGCGTCGGCATTTTTCCCGGCAGCTGCTCTGGCTCTGCACAGCATCGGTCCCTCGCACCCCATGCCTCACCCAGCACGCGGGGCAGCCCCCCCCCCCCCCGCTGTGCCGCCTGTGTTCTCGGGCGCCCCTGATCCCGCCCCTCCCCCCAGGAGCTGACCGGCGTGGCGGAGCACGCGCTTGGCACCGAGGAGCCCGGCCCCGCGGGCCCTGCGAGCCCCCTGGACCTGGAGCGGAGCTGCGGCCGCCCCGCAGAGGAGCAGGAGAGGCGGCTGCGGGTGCTGCAGCTGCTGGCCCTGCTGTGCGAGGGCGTCTCGGACACGCTGCTGACGGACATCGCCCAGGTTCGTCCGGCGCTCGGCTCCCGCCCCGTGCAGGGAGGGGGGCGCGAGGGTCGGGTTGCCCAAGAGAGGGGCACGTAGCCCGTCGAAGGCGGGGCCGTTTGGCCAAAGTTCCCTTTGTCTCGTGCAGAAGCAGACTTGTGGGACGAGCAAAGCCCCAGGCTTCCGTCCCGCTCAGATAATGAGGGAGTTTGCTGAAAAGATGAAGCATGTCAGGGAGCCTGCTCTTCTCTGGGGGTGCAAACCCAGCGGAGCCAGTGAGGGGCTTCATTACCGAGGGCTCTCCGCCGTCTCCTCCGCCCTCCAGAGATGCCTGGCCAGCAGGGAGAACTTGCCTGACCCAGCCAGGATTCAGGGGTCGTGTGACGACCAGAGCAGAGGGTTAACCCTAACAACCCCGGACTGGGACTGCCCTACGAGCAGTTGCTGAGGTCAACGCAGGGGGTGCTGCTGAAGGGCTGGTGGTCTTTCAGTAGAACGGGGTACGGAAGTGCCCTTGTGTGTCTGCTCGCTCCGTTTTGCTGCAGGTTGTGGAGTTCGTGGCAGCAACGCTGCAGCGGGCTCGCACGAGTTTCGGCAGCAGCTCCGGGGGTGCCGTGGAAGCCCAGACGCTGAGCATGGCCATGGGGCTCGTGGCAGCCCTACTGGGAGGTGCTGCGCAGGTGAGCTTCGTGGGGCGGAAAGCAAGGATGCGCTCTGCCCCGGCCCGCCCCACTGCAGGGGACCCCTTCCCTGGAGCAGCGCTGGTCTCTGACGACCGCTTAGGCCAGTGGGCGGGAGGGGAAACCGCTCGATCGCAGCCTCTGTCCAGAGTTCTGGCAGGGGCTCTGGCAGCAGCGAGGACCGATGGATCGGCGGGGCCTGTCCCCTCTGCACCGGCCCGGCCCAGCCCCACCCTGCCGGGCCCCGGGGCCTGCTGCAGAAATCGGCAGGGGCAGGCCACTCCTGGAATCCACAGCCAGATATGTGGGAGGGCGGCGAGGCTCTGGGTAGGCACGACGGTGGGGAACCTTTCTGGGGCACATTCCCAGCAAGGGAAGAAAAGACTGGGGGCTGGCGACCCGGAGGCAGCCTCTCGTCCGCGGCAGAGGCCTCTGCATGATGCCGGTGGGGCAGGGTGCCCATCGCTGCCCCCTGTCGCCCCTCCTTCGCTTGCCCCACCGCTTTGCAGTCGCGCCCCCGAGGCCTCGTCCGAGCCACTTGCCTTCCGTTAGGGAAGCGGCAGCGACTGCTCTCACACCCACCTGTGCCGGTTGCACCTGTGAGCTCGGGCCAGGATGCTCTCTCCTTCCCGGGATCCACTGTGTACGCCCATAACGGCAACCGCAGCAAAGCCTCACTTTCCCAGCACTTCCTCCCCACGGCCTGGGGCAGTGGTGGCGGACCTATGCCTCGCAGAGCCCTCTCCATCAGCACGCGAGCCAAAACGCCCCGGCAGCCGAGCATCGGATAACAGCACACAGAGGGGCCACGCGCATGCTCAGAAAGGAGTACTGTCGCCAGGCGATGACGTCACGAGCTGCGACTTATTAGCTGTGACATGTCTGAGCTTTCACATGGCCGGCCAGTGCGCTGCCAAGGATATACATATATTTGCGTGGCTGGCTGTGAGTTGTTTTTTCTAGACTAAAACCTCAGTTTTCAGGTTTTATTGTCATGGTGGCCCTTTGCGATAAATAAGCGGGTTTTGGGTTGCAGTTTGGGTTCGCCATCCCTGAGTTAGGAGGACGTTCTTGGAGGGTGCTGCTTTCCCCATCTCCGTGGCAGGACTGACGCCCTGGGTGTTCTCCACCAGCTGAAGCCAGCCGACTTGGCCGCCCTGCAGCAGCTGGTGCCTCTGCTGGAGGAGGTCTCCCGCCTGCACCCGGAGCCTGTCATCCAGGAGCTCGCCGCAGACCTGCGCATCGCCATCTGCACCCGCGGGGCCTTTGCCACGGAGGCCGTCTGCTCTGCCGCTCGGGGCACCCTGGGCCTGGGCCGGGCACGGGGGCTGGGCCAAGCGGGGACTGGCGTGAGCCGAGGTGCCACTGCGAGTGCCCAGGGCGGGGGTCCCAAGCCTGAGGGGGCTCTGCAGCAGGCGTCCAGAGAGCACAGCTCGCCCGCCGAGCCCAATGTCGCCGCGCCAGAGGACCAGGCCGCCGCGCCCTCCGCAGAGCCGCACTTGGGCTCCCCGGCCCGGCAGAGCCTGCGCGAGCTCCTGGCGTCTGCTTACGACCCTGACGTCCCAGCCCGAGCAGCCGCCTTGCGCAGCCTGGCTCGCTTGATCGAGCGGCGGGACCCCGGGGCCCTGGAGGTTCAGGAGCAGCTGCTGAAGGTGGGCATTCCGGGCCTTCGCCTGCCCCTCCCACGCTCCGCGGAGGGTGTGGACACGCTCCGCGTTGCAGCACGGGCACCTGCGCGGGCGGCAGACGCAGGGGAGTTCACCCTGCTCCTTCCACTTCCAGGTTTTCATGGAGAACTTGGAACACGAGGACTCCTTTGTTTACCTTTCTGCCATCCAAGGTAAGCCAGCCAAACCTGTCCACCTGTCTCCCGAAAAGAGCCTCTGTGCTGCCTGGCTGGTCGAGGTGTGACCTGGGCAGGGGAGGCTCAGGCTGCCTTCGGGGGCTGCCCACCCGGGCCTCCTCGTCATGCCGTGAGTGGCTTAGGGCCTGCTGGGCATTGCTTGTTTCTTTGTTTCCCTCCCTTTCTGTGGGATCGTGACCGTTGTGGTGCCCTTGTTCTGATAGCCGCACGCCGTCCCTCCGGAGTGTCCCAACAGCATGTGGAGGGGCTGCCTGCGATGGCCACATCCTTTTAAAATCAGATCTTTATGTTTTAGCTGTAGTTGCGCAACTGTGCAGTTTCACAGTTCTGTCCTGTGTGGATTGGCTTCCTTAGCTGGGGCCGTGCCAGGGTTGCTACTCCAGCCCAGAAGATTCTCCAAATACGTCCCCCCTTTGGTTTTCTAGATAGTGGTGAAAAAGTGAGCTATCAAGAAAGAAGGAGACTGTGAATGATCTTTAGTTTTGAAAAGGGTTGGAGAGTTGCACCCCCCTTGCAGCGAGATCCTGAAATCCTCCCCCTCTGTTTTCACAGGCAATGGAAGGCTAGCAGCCAGCTGCCAGGCCTCTGGGCCTCTCTTGAAAAGGGGATTTTGAGTGGGACTGGGTGGTTTTGAACTTGGACACATGCCTATCCTGGTGCGACCCGCCACTTCCCATGAAAAAGCCCATTTTGAAAGGGCCCAGAGTCTTGGCAGCTCACCGTCAAAGGGGAGGCGCATCCTTGGGCGCTCTTCCAAGCACCTTGAGGGCATGCGCCCTGCTGTGAAAAGTGAAGGGAGGGGAAAGGATGGGATCATGCAGTGAGGATGGTGTGACGGCCCCCGCCCCCTCGAACACCCTGGCGTCTTCTGCGTCCAGACGAGAAGCCTCTCCTCGGCTGGTGGCCCTTTCGCCAAGCATTTCCGGCGGGGGAAGCGTGCCCCTCCCCAGTGAAGTCCGGCCAGGGGTGCCGGGAGCCCTCGGTGCAGGCTCTCGTCAGGCAGAGGATAAAAGAAGACTCTGTCTGCTGCAGCCAGGCGGCGGGAGGGCAGCCCCGTTCCCGCCCCTTCGCGGCTGGGCTTGTGTTGGCGCGAGCAGGCGGAGGGCTCAGCCAGGGAAAGAGCCTGGCACACCCCGATGACGCACCGAGGCACCGCTTGCCCCTTCCGCAGGCCCAGCGCCACTCTCGCGAACGTTGGCAGCTCTCGCGGGACTGCCTCAGACGCCAAGCGGAGCCCAGAGAGGGACGTCGGGGAGGGTGGGGGGCAGCGGCCGGGCGGGCCAAGCGGCACGCCTGCCCCCGCGCGTATTTGCCCTGCCGCCTTGCCACTCCCTCACTTCCACATGCCCCCCGATGGTAGAGAGTCCAGCCTCGTCTCCTTCCAGGCGAACGAGGGCCTCTGCCTTCCCCGGGCGGCCTCTGCCACCGACTCGCTTTCCCGCACCGGGGCAGGTCGCTCTTCTCCCCGTGGCTCGCCCTGCCAAGGGAGCTCAGGTTTCGTTCCGGGGCTTCGTTTCGTCGCTTTTCAAGCCGGAAATGAGTAATGGACAAACTCAGTATCGAAAAAATGCAGACTGGAGGTGATGGCAGGTTTCAGCCAGTCTGGGCCACGGTAGCGAAGTGTAATTATACCTGGGATGCATTTGCAGTGAGCTTTTAATGTGCGGCGCCACTGGCCATGTGCAGCTTGCACGTAGTTCATGGGAGATCACGGTGATAAACCAGCGGGAAAAGCAGCCGCAGCAGCAGCAGCAGCAAGGAAGGGGCAGCTCGGTTTCAGGCGGCATGCCAGCCCCAACATTTTGTGCGGGGTGGGGGAGGGTGCAGAGTTTCGGGGGTGGGGGTACCAAGTTCGGCAGGGAGCACGGCGCCCTGCGGCAGGAAGGGGGTGCCCCCTCACTTGCTAGGGAAGAGGCAGCCGTCAGCGGGGCAGGGCCTCAGGCCGGCTCTGGAGTCCGGCTCCTGGGGCCTTGGGAGGCGGGGCGGGGGGCGGGGGTCTGAGAGCCCTCGAGAGGCGTGGGGAGCCAGATCCAGGCCGGGGGAGGCCCCTTGGGCCTGCCTTCCCGGCTGCGGCCAGAGCGCCCCACATGCCGCCTGCAGGCCGCCTTAGCCCTTGGGAGGAGGAGGTGGCGCAGGAGGGGGGCGTGGCTGGATTCGGCCTCCTGAGGCCCCTCTGCTGCCGCCGCCTCTTGCATGCTGAAGCCCGAGCGGGAGCGGAGGGGCCCGTCTGCGTCTGCCCAGCGGCACAGCCACCTGGGCCCCTTCCCACCTCGGCCTGGGTTGGCCCGGGAAGGCTGGGCGATGGGAAGCCAGGCCTCCCCGATGCCCCGTGCCCCGAGCAATCCAGGTGAATGTTTCTTGCACGCACGGTCCTCCAGGTGTGCACCTGCGAGGGGCACGCGGGCCGAGTTGTGTGGGCAGATCTCGCTTCGTCAGGGTTTTCCAGAGAGGCCCTTCCCGCCTCTCCCGGTGGGCCTCGGTCCCCGGCTAAGCACTCAAATGTGGCTGCGCGCTTGGAGCATGGCCGTCCTCTTGGCCCGTGTCCCAGGCTGATGGGGGATGGCGCGGGTTGCGGGGGAGGACGGGTCACTGCAGGAGCAGGACTGGAGCGTGCGAAACCGGCAGGGCTGCAGCCGCCCGGCCTGGTGACTGCCAGCGGCGCACGGCTGCTCCAGGCTCTCCGGGGCCGGGCCGGGCCAGTGGAGGGCTGCCAGCAGCTGCCAAGCCCAGCGACAGGTGCCGGGGCGCTCGCTGCCCGGCCACCTCGGTGCCCCCGCCGTCAGCTGGCACTTCTGTGCAGATGCGCCAGCCTGCGGTTGCTTCCTTTCCCAGCAGCCGAGTCCCCCGGCAGCACTCCTCCTGTTCTGCCTTCCCTCTTTCCCGATGCCCAGAGGCGGGTCCCTGGCTGCCCGGGAGGGAGATCAAAGGCTGCGGTAGCTGCTCAAAGGGGCCGCGGTCGTAACCTGCGCCTTCTAGGCTCTCCTCTCCGGCTCGGCCACGGAGGGTGTCCGTCATGCTCTGCTGGGTCTGGCCGCCTTTATGGTCCTGGGAGCTCCAGTGCGGCGGAAACCCGTTTCTGGCTGAGCAGAGCCTGTTTTTCCCACTGCTCACAGGCTGTGACGGGGCTGCGCGTTCAGCCGGAAGCACCTGGAGCGTGATTGGCCTGGGGTGTAAGCGATAGCCGTGGGGATGGGGGCTCGCGTCACTCAGGAGAAGCCACCGCCATGCCTGGCCGGGACCAGGCTGTGGGAAACGGAGCTCCCCAAGGAGAGGCTCCCATCCCACTTCCCCTTGATGGGCAGCAGCTTGGATTGCTTCCCCCGGGCTGGACCTGCCTCTTCCAGGGGCAAACGCTCCGGAGCTCCCCGGGGATGTGCACTCACAATGCCCCTTAAGGACTGGCCTCGTGCGTGTCGGTGTGTGATGAAGGCAGCCATTGCCTGCCTGGGTCTCAACAAGCCCGCACAGCCTCCATCCAATGTGTGCCTCCAGTTGTGCTGAACTACAGCTCCCAGCATCCCCAGCCATCTATGCTGCAGCCCAGTGCAGATAGCATGCCAGGTCCGGGAGGGCCGAGCCCAGCCCACCTCCAGGAGCCCGGCGGTTGTCCTGGTGCGCTTCCCACTGGGGGCCGCGGGCTTTCCCGGCGAGGATCTGGGCAGGGCAGCAGCCCTGGCTGGCCTGGATCGGCAGGGGAGGCGCAGCCCACGGGCTCCCCGGCTTCTGCTGCGAGGCAACTTCACGCAGCCCGTTGGAGTCCGCCTCTTGTGGCTTCCTGCGCCCATTTTGGCTCGAAAGAGGAGGACACCAGGCAGGCAGAGGCCGGACTCACTTATAAGCCGCTTTGGACAAGGGCGGAGAAGGAAGTCGCGTGCTGACAAGGCCGGGCTTGGCGAGGCACGGGAGCCCAGCTTCCGGTTGCTGCGTTGCCCTTCCCTCCGTGAGCTGGGCTGCCCTCCCCTCCTGAGGGGCTCGCTTTGCGTGGCAGTGCACCTGCCTCCTGGCCTTGGAGATGGGAAAGGGCCCCCAGTGCCAGCGGTGCTCCGAAGCAGCCCGTCAGCGCGCCCAGCGGCCGTCCACAACGCGGCCAAAGCCCTCGCGGCCACACCGCTCCCTCACGCTGCCGCTTCTCCGGCTCTGCAGGGGTCGCCCTGCTGTCCGACGTGCTCCCCACACGAGTCCTGCACTGTCTGCTGGCCCAGTTTGGGGGCGTCCAGCCGAGCGCACGGAAAGCACTGAGTGCCGAGACCAGGATGAAAGTGGGCGAGGCACTGATGCGCATCACACGAGCACTGGGTAAGTCCCCTCTCCTCGCCGGGGTGCCTGCGCCTGATTCTGGCGCCTTGGAAGCGTCCTGCGTGGCTTCGGGCCCTTTCTCAGCACAGCCAGTGCCCTTGAATCTGGCAGAGAGGTTGCCAGAGCCCGGAAGTGCCCTCCCTGGGGCAGGGAGCATTCTGAAAACAGCCTTCGGTGCGCTGAGAGCAGGGCGATGAGTCACCTCTGGCGGTTCCACTTGAACCTGTGCCATGCTGAAGCGTGGGAGCATCCCCTTCGTTCCAGTTCCCCAGAAACGGACACGCAGGAGCGCCTGCCTACTTCCTGCATGGTGCAAGCATGGTGCTCGGCTGCACTGCCCGGCTCCTGCAAGAGGAAGGCTTCGCGGCTTGTCTGGGCATGGCCACCAGGGTGGCTTCGTGTCACGGGCTCTGTGCTCGAGCACAGCCCAGGAAGCCGGGAAGTGGAGAGCTGCCCGGGTCGCTGAGTGCCACTCGAGGCGTCTCTTGCCCTGCACACGCATCTTTCCAGGCAGAGGCTCCGGCCTGCCAAAAAGCAGGCTGCACATTTTGGCCTTTGTCGCTGGGGCTTTCTGCGTGAGGCTGTTGACCTGCACGTGCGTCAGATCCACACCCGGGTTTGGGCTCCTTCGGCCGAGCCGGGGTCCCAGGAGCAGCGCCTCCGAGGCTGGGCTCCGTGTCCGCCCGGGAAAGGCCTTGCGGGCGTGGGGTCTTTCCACAGCGCCACTGGAGCCCTGCAATGGGAGGGCGCATGACCCCAGCTCGGCTTGGATAAGCCTGTGTCCCACCAGTGGCTCCCTCCCGGCACTTGTGCCCCGTTCAGTGAGGGGGACGGGTGGGGGCTGCTGCGCAGGCTCCCTCTCCTCGTGTGGGGCCTTCCGGCAGCCGCAGAGCCGGCAGCCTCTGCTCCCCGCCCTGACATGAAGCGCGGTTTGGTTCTCCAGCTAGGAGGGCACCAGGCATCCTGCTGCACTCCCCAAACAGCCATCTGCTGCGGAAAAAAGCAAACCTTGGCTCTCTCATAAGGGGCTGGTGCTGGCACAGGGCCCTTTTCCTTAACGATAATAGCTTAATTGCTCCCTGGTGTGTCAGGCCTGTATTCTTCCGTGTGTGCCTGCTTTACCTTTTCAAGGTGCACTTCCTGCCCCTCCCCTTCCCCAGAGCAAGAGCGGCCTTTGTAGGCGGGTGGGCGGGCGGGCGGGCGGGGGCCCCGGCCACGCACTGGGAAGGCCCTCGGCTCCTCCGCGGGCCTTCGGACCCGTTTCCCATGCTTGCTCTTGGCGCGGCGATCTTCCCGGCTGTGTCAGACTGCAGGCGGGCTGACTGCAGCTCCCACGATGCCCCTGACGTGCCTGGCTGTTGCAGGCCCACACATCTGGTGGGCCCCGGGGTGCAGGAGACATCCGGGGGCTTCCTTGCCTGGGTCAGAAGCGCTTTGGCCCTCGATGCCCAGGGCGGGGGCCTCCCGGGCGCGGACCGGCTTTGGGGTGCCTGGGCCACCGCCCCCGTTCGTTCGGGGGCCTGCTCTGGAGACCCGGCAGGCGCTGCTGGCTGCCGAGCGCCACGCGTCTTCCTGGGCTGCCCTGCTCCGCTCTGCACATGCCCTTGGCAGGCACCGACTGGCCTCTCTGTTTATAGCCGGCACTAAGCCGAGCTGTTTGTCTTCCCATTTTTCACTGCCACGGTGCTGTTCAAGGGCGTGCGTTCTTCACAGCAGGGGGCTCTCCCCGTGCTCCGCGTAGAGCCCGGGACTCGCTCTGGGGCGCATCTTGCTCTGCACAGTGGCACGGAGCCAGCTGGGGCAACCCCCCCCCCTTCTGAACATGGTGCAGAGGCCTTGGTGGGCCGTGGCAGGGGATGCTGCTGGGGCGAAGATGGCCGATCGCTTGCAAGTCGTCGCTCGCTCGCTTCCAGGGAGCCCACCTGGATCGGCAGAGAAGCTGGTCGGGGCCTCGTGCTTCTCTGTCCCCCCAGCCCCCCCACATGGCACCTGCGGCAGCTGCCTCCGCAGCCCCCATCCCTCCGCAGAGGGCCACCTGCCGGGGCTTTTCAGTGTAAATGCTGGAGTGGGCTTGGGTGGGGGGAGGCGGGCGGGGGCGGGTGGCAGCCCAGCCAGGCATGGCCTGTCCAGCCCCCGGAGCCGCGGCGGGGGCTCCCTGCATGGGGGGGGG